TATAGTACGTGCTCAGTAAATGAAGGCTCTAAGTATAGACAGTATTATCTCCACCAGCACGTGTTACATGTAACTGAAGAGTAATTTGGGATGAAGGCGCGCAATTGTGCATCCAGACTGAATGATATTAATTATGCCCATTCCGTTCATTCTGTTGTTCGGGGGCCCTCACCATGTTTGCTTTCCTCCCACTCCCCACTGTACCAGAGCCTGCTGATCTCATGTGCGCAGTAAATAGCTGCTGGCCACTTCTTGTCCACAGCAAAGGGACCATAGCTCTGCTGTTTGCCTTTGCATCATGCTTCACTGACCAACTCCCAAAGTACAATCTCAGTCTGCTGAGATAACTCAGAAAGTTCTGTCATTGACTCAGTCATCTTCCTGCTGCTCTCAAGAACTGTGCTGGCTGGTAGCATTGATTCAGGATCTCCTGGTCCCCTGAGATAATGGGACATATTCACCTACGTTCTGTAAGAGTGGTTAGGGAATAGGGTTGGGGCCACCTGCTAGTGTCCTAGGGAACAGAACCTTCATTCTTGAGAGCAGATGCATCCCTGTGTTTTTGCACCAGCCCTGGTGTTCAGCCAAGTGCAGTGTCATTAGTTTGACTAAGAATATTCCTAGTAGTCTTGGCTAGTGTTTATTGAGCACTTGCCGCTTCCTTGGACCTGTAGGTCCTGAAAGTATGCCTTTTGCTTACTTTATAGCATTTGATCCCTCAACCAGGCCTGTCTATTGGAACTTTTTGTGGTGATGGAAATGTTTTACATCTGCACTGCCTATTACAGTATCCACTGGCCACTGTGGTTATTGAAAACATCACATGTGGCCAATGCAACTGAAGGGACTGAATTTTTTATTTTGTTTAAAGTAAATTGGATTAATTTGAATGGAAATGGTCACATATACCCAGTGGCTCAGCTGTAAACAGTCCTTTTAACCCACTTTACAGATGAGAAAACATGGGAGCTGGAGGATTAAGTAATTTGCCAAAGGAGCCCGAGTCTATAGTAGCAAAGGCAGATGCTGGACGCTGCTTCCTGCCCATGTGACACGCTCCTCACCACCACGTACTCTCTGTTGGACTTTTAGCAGAAACTGTTTCCTGTTTGCACATTGTTCCCTAACTTATAACACCATCTATACAACCCTCCTTGAAATTAACATACAAGATCTAGCTGAAGAAAACTGTATAACCAAAGGCTGTTAAAGAAGATCTATATAAATGGGGAAGCAGGGGAGCCTCCATCTTTCTGGATAGGAAAACTCAGTTTTGCAAAGATATCATTTTCCCCCCCCCAATAATCTCTGGATTTAGTAAAATTCTACTCCAAATCTGATTGAAATGACATTTGATTCCAAAAGAATATTCCAGAATAATCAAAACAGTTTAGTTAATGAATAGTAGGGGATGGGATAGATTTGTTCTGCCCATATGAAAATAATGAATTAAGGGCCTCCCCGGTGGTGCAGCGGTTGAGTGCTGGGTTGCAAAGCTGCCCGCGGCCTCTGCAGCGCCGGTTCCATCCCCGGCTGCTCCCCGGCCACCACAGGAGGGTCCCACATGGCGCGCAGACCTCTCCTGCCACCTACTGCTCCCCTCAGCAGTGTACTTTGGTCCTTCTGCCTGCTCTGCTCCCCGCTCTGGCTCTGGTGAATTCTCTCACCCTCCCGCGCTTCTGACTGTACCCAGTGCGTGTATAAACAAAACAAACAAACAAACAAATAAATAAATAAATAAAGCATGCCTCTATAAAAAAAAAATAATTAAAAAAAAATAATGAATTAAAGTGAAAATGATTAAAAGGACACTGGCACAGGAAAAAATAAAATCATCTAGAAAGGTGGCATTAAATCACAGATCTGCAAAAGATCATTAATCAGTGTGGGAAATGGGTTATCCATCCAGAGAATAATAAAGCTGGATCCTTACCTCATGCTACATATAAAGATCTAAACATTTAAAAAGAAACCAAAAAACACCTGAGACTATAGGAGGATAGAGTTACTTTAGTAATACTAGACTGGGAAAAATGGGAAACTATGCAGAGAAATTTTGACAGATTTAAATTAACTATAGGGCCTCCCCGGTGGCACAGGGAGTTAAGCACCACACTATAAGGCAGTCTTCAGCCTCTGCATCACGAGTTCGATCCCTGGCCAGCCAGAGAGCAACCCACATGGCGCAGCAGACCTCTCCTGACTCGCCCGCTGCTCCCCTCAGCAGTGGACTTTGGTCAATCTGCCTGTTGTGCTCCCCACTCTGTCTCTGGTGAGTCCTCTCACCCCCCGCCCCGCATCTCTGGCCTGTACTCCAGCTCTTGTATGCATAAAGAAATAAATCTTTAGGGCCTCCCCGGTGGCACAGCGGTTGAGCGCTGGGTTGCGAAGCTGCCCGCAGCCACTGCGGCGCCGGTTCGATCCCCGGCTGCTCCCCAGCCACCGGAGGAGGGTCCCATATGGCGCGCAGACCTCTCCTGCCGCCCGCTGCTCCCCTCAGCAGTGTACCTCGGTCCTTCTGCCTGCTCTGCTCCCCGCTCTGGCTCTGGTGAATTCTCTCACCCTCCCGCGCTTCTGACTGTACCCAGTGCATGTATAAACAAAAACAAACAAACAAAATAAATAAATAAATAAAACATGCCTCTATAAAATTAAAAAAAAAAAAAAAAAAAGAAATAAATCTTTAAAAATAAATTAATTCATTAATTCATTAACTACACAAGAATAACAGTTTCTCAATAGAAAAAAAAAATGCTGTAAGCAAAATTGAAAGGTCAGTCGATTCTGAGCAGAAACTTAGCAACTAACAGTTAAATCCTAAGGATCAAATCGCTGCAGCAGATCAATAAGACAGAGACAAGCAGCCAGGGTCTGTTCAGCTGCATTAGTGATCAGAGAAGTACAGTTTCAAACAATTAGGTACTATTTTTCACCATTTGAACTAGCAAGTTAATTTCAGTGACTACATCCAGTGTTGACCAGCGTGATAGGCATATAAATCAGTCCAACATTTTAGAAAGACAAGTGGCCTAGCCAAGTCGTAAATATTCATGTCCCTTGGCCCTGCACTCCTCCCTAAGTGATCCTGTACACGGCACCCATGGGTGCTCAGTGTGATATTATGTGTGAGATCAAAGAACTGGAGACAACAGTCCATCTAATGGGGCTGGGGTTGAAGTGTGGGGTAGCACATTCTAGAACACAATGTGGCTATGGAAGAGAATACAGTGGATCTGTGTGTAATGACATGGAAATATACACTTGATGCATTGTTGAGTTAAGGGAAAAAGCAAGTTTTAGAATAATTAGGGCAGCCATAATCCTGTTTCACTTTTCTTGAATATGCAGGAAATGCCTGGGGGATTCACACACACGCCGCTGTAGGGGACAGGCAAGCAGGAGGTCTTTATACACATTTCCACTTTGCTTGCCTTTTTATGACGAGCAAATGTTAGGGATACTTTTTTTTTTTAACGGTATCTTGATCTGAGAAAGGAGCCTGGTTCTAGCGTGGCTCCCTCACTTAGCTAAAATCATAGTAAAGGACTCCAATCTATTGACTTTAGCCGCCTGCCTTGTTTAAAAATAAATAAATAAAAATGTTATGGCTGGTGTGGCTAGACTTATAATCAAGAAAATGAAAAGCGTCTTGCTTTTTTAATAAAGGAGACTAGTTCGAGAGAGGTCTTTCCAGCTCTGACATGGAAGACATTGATCTCAGAGTCACTTGGGCTTGAAATTTTTTAAAATTTAAAAGCTGACCCCGCTGCTGTAGTGCTCAGTTCTAAGACAGGCAGGATGCTTTCAGCCATGGCTGAGAGGGCCTTGTGCCATGTTCACAGGCTTGTTGCTCTTGTTTTTGGTCTGGAACCTTTCCTTCTGGGGCTCTTTTTTGTCTGCCTCCTGGAGGGAGGGCAGACCCCACAGCCCTGAGGTCGCTGTTGCCTGCGGGGCTGCTGGACTTGCTCTGGGACCCAGAGAAGAGGCAATTTGTGCTGTGGGGGCTGAATGGCTGGCTTCAGGCCGAGAGCGCATACTCTTTGGTGTGGTTGATGCGTCTTATCTACTGCCACCGTCCCTACCGCTGCTTCCAGAAAGCTCTTCAGAGCATGTTTGCATGTTTGCCCAGTGCCAGAAACTTAAACCTGAACCCATGTACAGGGACAAGCATGCTTTTTTGTGTGTTCTTCCCCCTTCTGGCCATTAGAAGGGCAGAAGTGTGGATAGGAGTGTGGCTAACATGAAGCCAGAAAGACGTTACCTGGAGGCCCCTGCTCCTAACTGGTTGCAGAGAACAGTATAAGTGTCTGGGCTTTCTCAGTGGACTAAGCTGGCAGAGCTGCCTATGCCCTCTTCAGCCCGTGGGCCTTGCTCCGTGCTGCAGATCATCACATCTACTGCCCAAGACTCTGACTAGTCCAGCCTGGGAGCTGTGTCCTCAGTCCTGGCTGGACCAAAACTCACACCCTGCCTTGTCAGGCTCCTCAGTAAGACCCAGTGCCCCGTGTCAGCTCTGGCACCCAGGCTGCCAGAGCAGATGCCCCCTCTGTCAGCCCTTAGTACACACAGAGGGCAGCTCCAAGCAGTGCCACTGCTGCACAGGCAGTGGGGGTGCACACTCTGGGAATGAGGGCTCATTTTGTGGCTCACCCTGGCCAAGTTGTGCTGCTCAGTGGCCCTGGCTCAAAGCCTGGTGCCATGTGGGACTTTCACAGGGACCCAGCACCCCTTGCCAGCATCAGGCGGTCATCGTGTCCAGCTCTTGGACATGATATAGGGGCTGGGCTCTGAGAACACAGCTCTTGGGGACTAGGCTCTCAGAATATAGCCTCTGGCCTCTGGGACTCCAGATCAGGACAAGCAGCTGGCCCAGGCAGCGTGAGGTACACTTCCCAGGACATCTTGTGACTGGTTTTCTCAGCAACCTTCTTGATTCCAGCACTGCTGTAACCCTCCTCTTTATCCACTTCTAATTTTGGGGGGATTTCTTTCCCTTTCAGCTACAGAGCTACTTTGCTGCCTGCGAGGATGAGACGCCTGCTATCCGGAACCACGACAAGGTCCTGCAGCGTCTGTGTGAGCACCTGGACCACGCCCTGCTGTATGGGTAAGAGGACATGCTTTCTGGGGCAGACTTAGGGCACAACAGGGCACGGCTGAATCCACGAGTCCCTCAGAGAGACGCCTCTACCCTTGCCTGCCTTTGATTTCTTCTCTCCCTTGGCAGAAAGAGGTTTGTCTCACTCAAGTGGGCCGCAGCCTGTCTGTAGTTAGCCAGCAAACATAAAAGCGGGGAGAATACACATAGACCAAAGCACGGTGTGGAGGCACAGTGGCTGCCTGTGCGTCCCTAGGGGATGCCAAGGCCTTGACCTCACTTGACCCACATGAAGATGGGTAGACCAGCTGACTGCAGCTTCCCAGGGTGGCCCTGCTTAGGTCATGGCAGCTGCTGTCCCATTTTCTCAGACTGCAAGACCTCTCATCTGGCTACTGGGTGCTCGTGGTGCATTTCACCCGGAAGGAAGCCATCAAACAGATCGAGGTGCTGCAGCATGTGGCCACCAACCTGGGGCGCAGTGAGTAGTACCAGGTCGGCTCTGGGAAAGGCCGGCTCCGCCCTCCCTGTGGGCAGCTCAGGGCTCAGGTGCAGACTCAAGGTCAGGCCCTGGGAGGCTGATGACCCTGGGGTGGCCAGTGGCAGTGGGGTTAAAATACCAGCACCCTTGGCATGGCCTCTCTTCTCCCTGCATATGAGTTTTTTGGAGCCTCCCAGGTGGGGTGAATGGTACTGAGGTGTGGAGAAGAACCAGACTACCCTCGCAGCCCAGCTGAGCCCCAGTCTTGCTTCTCTCCCTGAGCTGGGATCAGTCTTCACCTGCAGAGCAGCACGGAATACTGGCATTTCTTGACCCAGCTGAAGTTGGCAGTCTGCCCTCTTTCTTGGAGTTTCCTGGCTAGCTACAGGCTAGGGTCTGACTGAGGACAGAGAGATTTCAGGGCTGTGGCTCTAACCAGAGAGAAGGCTGGAGTGCCTGGTCCCCAGGCCACTTGTTCCTTCCATTCTGCTCTTGCTGGGCCAAAAAGCTGCCACCCCAGGGGGCCTCCCTAGTGGCACAAGCGTTAAGACACAACCTATGAAGCAATCCACAGCCGCTGCAGCAGGAGTTCGATTCCCAGCAAGCCAGGGAGCAACCCACATGGCGCAGCAGACCTCTCCTGACTTGCCCTCTGCTCCCCTCAGCAGTGTACTTCGGTCAATCTGCCTGTTCTGTTACCCTCTCTGTCTCTGGTGAATCCTCTCACCCTCCACACCTCTGGCCTGTACCCCAGCTCTTGTATGCATAAATAAATCTTTAAAAAAAAAAATGCCACCCCAACAGAACTTCCTTCCAATTACTCCTGCCCTTTGCTTGCAGGCCGGGCCTGGCTGTACCTGGCCCTCAACGAGAACTCCCTGGAGAGCTACCTGCGGCTGTTCCAGGAGAACCTGAGTCTACTGCACAAGTACTATGTCAAGTAAGTGTCCCTGGTGGTGTCTCACGGGTGCCCAGAGCCCCCTCGAGCCTGTGCCAGAGACTCTTGTCCCATGTGGTGTCCGGAGGCCTGGCATGGCATTGCATGCTGGGGACATGTCCGTGATGAGCAGTGGCTGGGGCCTCGCTCACAGTGGGAGGGCATTGCACACAGGCTCTGCTGAGGCTGTTTGGTGCTCTGCCTCCTCCACCCAGAATGTTCGACCTTTTTAAGGGTTGCTGCAGGAACAGAGTATTTATAGCAGCTGCCAAGAGCCAGTGGAGCCTGATGCTGCAGGCCCCTGTCTGGAGTCAAGTGCAGTGTGGCTCTGGACCCAAAGGGTGGTGAAGCTGCCTCCAGCTGGGCGTCCTCCAGGGAGTGGGGGTGACGCAGGTCAAATTTCAGCGCAGCTGGCTTGTTGGTAAGGGAGGGCATAGCCGGCAACCAGACTCAGGCCCATACCATCCCTTCCCCCGTCTCACAGGAACGCCCTGGTCTGCAGCCATGACCACCTGACTCTCTTCCTGACCTTGGTGTCTGGCCTGGAGTTCATTCGATTCGACCTGGATCTGGTGAGACTCCACAGCTCTCGCTCTTTGTGGGGACGCAGGGGTGGGTGGGTAGGGTTAGCAGGCAGTTTCATTGTTGGGGGTCCTCTGTTGAGTGTGAGCCACTTGTTACCTATTGGTTGAGGTACAGGAAGAACTCAGGGTCTGAACCCTTGAGTCGAGCAGGCAGGGTTGATTCTCTCTTGGTCTATTTAAAGCCGAAATTCCTGGTCCAGGAGAGGTGTTCCTTTCTCAGTCCCAACTTGGAGATGGCCCCACGGCCCAGAGTCTGTAGCACTCGAGTCCTGGCCTTCATGTTTAGGACATGATTGTTTGACAAGGACAAGGCTCCTGGGCCCGTGGCAGTGTCATTAGCTCCAAGCTGCCCGCCTCCCCCACATCCTGCACTGTACACGGTGCTGGCCCAGAAGGAGCGGGCGAGGCTGGGGCACCTCTCAGGCTCGGGCTCATGGAGGTGGCTGAGCTGCCCCGTCACAATCAAATCACCCCCTTGGTCCCACTCCCAAAAACAAAGACTGCAAAAGGAACTTGGCCCCTGAAAAGTGGTAGAAGTTGAAGAAAATGAGCAACTCTGATCTAAAGCGGCTGAAGAGGGTCAGAAGGCACAACGGGGGCCCGTCATCTCTGTTGGCCTTGAGTCCACAGCTGCCAGGGCCACCGCTGTGCACATGCCTCTTTGCAGCACTTATTTCTGAGTCCATTGACCTCTGGAAGGAAACTGGCCTGGGAGGCTGTGGCAGGCAAGCTGCTGGCCTCTGTGTGCAGGCCCACAGGACCTGCTGTTAGCACTCTCTCCTCTGCAGGATGCCCCGTACTTAGACTTGGCCCCCTACATGCCCGACTACTACAAACCTCAGTACCTGCTGGACTTCGAGGACCGCCTTCCCAGCTCCGTCCATGGCTCGGACAGCCTGTCCCTCAACTCCTTCAACTCCGTCACCTCCACCAACCTGGAGTGGGATGACAGTGCAATTGCCCCATCTAGCGAGGGTAAGTGCCCAGGGCAGGAAGGTGCCACCCTCGCCTGACTCTGGAGACTGTGGCTTGTGCTGGTGGGCAACATCTTCCTGACAACCTGGTCCAGTGGCTAAAATTTGAAGTTGAGCAGGGCCGGCCGTCTCCCAGATCTTCACGACCTCAAGTCCCTGTTGTGTCTAAAATATTGATTCTGGGGGTAAAAAGGCCAAAATGGGATTTTATGAATGAGACCCTTTGCCCTGGGACAGTTTTCTGAGTGAGGGGGACAGGCAGTGTCACCTAGAGATTCTGGAGTGTTGCCGCTTTGGGGAAGATTGTCCTACCCTGGATTCTAGGCAAAAAGAAGCTAAGCCACCCTAGGAAGGAGAGAGCCAGAGGGTCTAAGTTTAGGGGACACTTAACACCATTTCTCATGTGTCCATTCGTGCACTTGCCGTGTGTCAGGGTGACTGCACCCACCGCCCCCAAGACCAGCAAGAACGCCATCATTTGTTGTCTCGATGCAATGACTCCCCAGAGCAGTCTGGTTTCTTTCATTTGATAAAGCTGCTGTTTCCCCACCTTCAACTGGTGTGGGAAACCAGCGTTCTTCCTTACCTCACCACCCTCACCTCCAGGAAGAGGGAGTCAGTCACATGGTCAGCCTCTGGGGCGCCCTAAAATTGCCTCAGCGTTGACACTTTGACCTTCTTCTTTCTGTATTTCTGCTTATGCCATAGTGCGTAGGTCCCGGGGGAGGTAGTTGCTGTCAGGCTTGCTGTTCACCAGCTTACATCATATCAAGGGAGCGGAGGCATCCAGCTCCTGGGCCACCTCTGAGAAACCAGAGGCATGGGCCCTGATGGAACAGACTGTCCATAGATGGAGGTGTCCCCGAGAGCCCCCCTCATCTCAGCTGCCAGGCTGAAGGGAAAGAAGGCAAGGATAGAAAAGGAGGTTCATTGCAAGGGAACCCATCCTTCTCTGCCAGAACCAGATTCTGGGCTTGGAAAAGATCGCCCCCCAGAGGTCTTTCCATCTGGCTGGTGGCATCTGGGCCAATGGCCAAGCTCAGAAGCAGCTGGGGTGTGTTAAGTTCCCCTGAGGTTGTTAGATAAAATACAGAAAGTTCAATTTTTTCCTCTCCCGTGTCTCCTACCCTGTTGCCCCCAGCCCACTGCCCTTCCACTGCCTGTGTATCTAATCTTCAGTTTTGTCCCTCATTTTTATAGATTATGATTTTGGAGATGTGTTTCCAGCAGTGCCGTCTGTACCCAGCACAGACTGGGAAGGTGGGACAGAGTCTGCTGTTACTCTCTTTTCCTGTTTTGCGACGTTTCTATGCCAAGCTTGCTGCATGCTCCAAAATCAGCTCATTATTTATAATACTGTCAATGATCACAATAAAGCCGAGTTTGGTGTTCTAACAGATGGAATTCTGCAGTAGGAGAACTTGACCTTTAGCCGTAGGCAAATCCCTCCTCCCACTGCAGGACTCCTGCCTTTATGCGGTGGCATTGTGGAGTCACTGAGTGACTCGTTCCCGGGACCCACAGACCACCCTTCCTGACCCCAGTGCCAGTCAGTGCAGCGATATGCAGAGGGAGCTGCCAGCTCGTGGGACGCTAGTGACCCAGGGAGCAGAGACTTGTTCTGGAAAGCGATGCCTTTGAACACAAGGCTTATGAGCTTTAAGGTAGGATGTGCTCCTGTAGCAGAAGCAAGAAGAGACAAAGGCAGAGGGCCTGATGCCTTCGGGCTGCTCTGGATGGCTTTCTCTCAGGTATTTTTGAATGAGATTGCAGGAGAGAACTTGCCTGGGCACAGCTAAAACTTCTACAGGGAGATTCTCTTTGAGGTTTTAAGCAGATTAAAATGAGATCTATCACCCCTCCCAGCCTGTCCACGAGGCAGCAGTCATGCTTTGGCATTTTCCTGCCCTTGACCCCACTTCATGAAGCTCTTCGCCCACGAGCCTATGGTTACTCAGAGCATAGGTCCTTCTGAGAAGCTTATGCTTCCTCCTTAAATCTGAAGCTGTAGCCAAAACCCCCTTATCAAATATCAAAGAGCTTCTTCCTCTCGTGGGCTGCTTCCCCCTGGGGTGGGAGTGGGTCCCAGCCATTGAATGAGCCAGTGCCCATCATGAGCCTGAGCTTGAAGGTCTGGCGTCCTCCCGCCGCTGCAGAGCTGGGCCCTGTGACTAAAGCCAGGACCTTGGCGTGGTGCGTGGCCGGTGATTGCTTCCCAAGTAATGCGAGTATGAAATAGCCTAGGTTTGAGGGCAATAAGATATGGCCTTGGGGATAATAAATGGTGTCATTGGGCTGAGAGAGGTGCGTAGGACCTAGGTTTTGGTTTTGGTGAAGACTGGCTGAGTCCAGAATTCCATCACAGCGTCCCTTGTCCTGGCGGTCTCTTCTTGCAGCACATGCCAGCATTAACCCTCCTCTGGTTCTAACAACTAACCCTTCCCGGACCCAGCTCCTTGCTGCCTGTCGCAGTCACTTGACAAGCTGGGCCTGACCCACCTCTGCAGACCTTCTGAGCTCCCTGTGGCCTGAGAACTAACTGCTTGCTCAGGCTGGCCCGGACAGGGGCAGGGGGAGGCTTCTCCCAGCAGTGATCTGCTTCCCTGGGTTCCTCCAAAACCCCCAGGCACTCCCGAGCGCCTGCTGACAGATCATCCAGGGAGCCTTTGTCTTCTTAGAGGTGGAAAAAAGCAGGATTTGAGGGCAACTCCAAACTCTGGGACCGGTGGGGATTCAGCAGCCTGGTAGAATTGGGGGGTATCCCGCCCATTACCCACATGTGCCCTCGCCTCTCGGGACTCTTTCTGTGGGTGTCTCCAGGGGCGGGGACAGGAGCATCTTTGAGACAGGACAGGGTTCTCTGCACCTGAGAACTTGGGCTCTGAGGTCCCAGGGCCTCTGCAGACTGTCTCATCTGGCTGGTGTTCTGGTGGCGCTGGCAGTTCTCCTAGCTCCCTCCTTCGTCCTTATGTTAAAAGACGGTGCTTTAAAAAATGGATGATGTGCTGCGTCAGCAACAGCTGCCCGTGGTTTCCAAGATCTGCCAAGAAGTGGACTGAGGTCGGGCCCCTCTGCGTCAGGCTGAGGGTAGAAAGCATGTTTGCCACATGTCTCTGGGCAGATAATGGCCAGTGAGATGTGCGCAGGCTGGCAAATGGGGCATGAACATGCTGCGTCCCTTGCCATTAGCCCTCACCAGGCAGCCGGACAGCTGGCCTCTGTTCACTGCTCGGATGGCGCCCATCTGCCACCGGGACGGCCCTGTGCACTTTTGTATTGCTGCTGCCACCTCTCCAGGTCCTGCGCCAGTGACCTGGGGGCTGGGGACGCAGCAGTTAAGCCTGTTCCCCTCTGGAAGGCAGCGTCTCCCCCTACCCTGGCGTGAGCCCTGGTTGGGCATGCGACACAGACAGGACCACAGGCAAACTGAGGTTTGAATAAAATTGAGCTCCACGCCCCTTTCAAAGATCACCGGGTAGTGTCCTAGGGGGTGTCAGGAGGAGAAGCTGCCACCACAGGAGCCCCGAGGCAGCTGCTGGGACAGCCACTCAGCCCTTCTTCTCCCCTCTGTATCTCATTCTCCCCCTTTTCCCAGGCTTCTCGCCCTTCGGATTCAATGTCTGCCCCCTGCTCTGCACCCTCCTTTTCTCTAACCCCTGTTTTCTTGTTTCTTTTTATCTGCCCCTGGGCACCACCTCAGAGGATTGGGTATCTGAGCCCTAACAGTGCCTGGAGGTGCTGTAGGAGCTGCCACATGCCCTTCTCGCATCCTGGTGGGCTGAGGCCTGGAGGGGTGTGCGTGCGGCCTCCTCTGCGGCATCACAGCCCCATTCCTGGTGCTTCATTCTGGAGGCTGTCCGCCCTCGGGGCTCTTAATTCAAACTCAGTCACTTTGCTGTGAGCTCCCAGCAGCGTTGGTGATGACTGTCCCTCCAGTTGGCTTGTAGGGCACACATCCCACATCCTGTTGGATTGGGGCCTCTCCCCTGGAGACAGCCACGCCATCAGATATCCCTGGGAGGAGCGCAGCCCTCCTTCCTGAGATAAGGCATCCTTGGGGGCCCAGGATCCCCAGGGGATGTCTGACAGGCTGTCCCGTTTCCTGTCCCCCCAGATGGAGACTTCACGGACACCATCAGTGGCCCCCGCTCCACAGCCTCAGACCTGACCAGCAGCAAGGCTTCCACCAAGAGCCCCACCCAGCGCCACAACCCCTTCAACGAGGACCAGGCGGAGACCGTGTCCTCCTCTGACACCACCCCTGTGCACACCACCTCTCAGGAGAAGGGGGACTCCCAAGCCCCGGACCTGCCAGACGCCTGCACAGAGCTTGAAGTCATCAGGTCAGCAGGGAGGGGCCCCGAGGGCAGTTGGGCGAGCCTCCGGGGTCCTGTCCACCACTGGCATCCATTTTCAGTCTGTACAGACCGGGGCCCCCTGAGGGCAGGTGAGATTCTTCCTGGAAACTAGAGCTCCCGGCCCCTGCTTGGCATTTCTTTGAGCAAGAGGAAACAGGAAGAGAACAGGGCACAGGCAGGCGGTTCCCATGGCTCCGGGCCTTGCCAGGCTGCAGCGCACTTGCCTGAGCCCTGCAGGACCAGGAAGCACCTGCAGACTGCACTGCCCTCCAAGCCGTTCTTGGACATTAACACACAATTTCCGAGATCCTAATTCAGTTCAGCATGACTCACTGAGAAAAGGTGACTTCAGCTTGTGGACAGAGACATAGAAGGGAAGCAGGAGGTGAAACTCGTTGGGACAAGTTGGGAAACCTGGCCCAGAGCCTCTTGCGCCCTGACTCCCCCTGGCTCCCCCTGACTCCCCCTGGCTCCTGCTGCGGAGACTCAGCCTGACAGGAGGAGAGTGCTGTGTGCATGGCAGACCTCCTGGGGGCTTACTGGTCTGGGGTGGGGGGCAGAGGGGGTTGCTTCCCCGTGACTGGAGCCAGGAGTCTTCCACAAGCCACTGGGAGTCCTGAGTGGCTTGAAGGGTTCAGCCCCAGGCCCACACCCGCCAATTTGGAACCAGGCGTAGGAGCCAGGAGTCGAAGTCCAAAAAGCTTTGAGTGTATTTCTGGTTAAATTACCCATGATGATACTTAATGGGAGGTGAGGTCAGCTCAGTGTACATTTCCCACATCCTAAGAGGAGGGCTGAGCAGAGGGGGCTGTTGATCTAAGCAGCCGTGGCGTAGGGCCTGTTCGGGGGGTCTTCTAGTGCTGCCCCCTGTGCCTCTTCATGCTGATCCCTTTCTCTGCCAGCAATGGGGAACCCCTCGGGGCTGCCACTACATCCAGAGCAGAGCTCCCCCACACGTCCCAGGACCACGGAAGCTTGGGCTGTGCCCTCAGAGGGCCCATGCCCAGGACCCCCCCCCGCAAAAGCCAGCCTGTCTAATTTCCCCCAGCACCGTGATCTCAGATGTTCAATCTCCCCCACTGTCCCAGGGTCACCAAGAAGAAGAAAGCCGGGAAGAAGAAGAAGGCCAGGTCAGACGAGGAGGCAAGTCCCCTTCACCCATCCTCCACCCGGCACTCCTGCGCCAAGCAGGGGGACAGCAACAGCCTCGTCAGCAGCCCAGGCCGTGAGCAGGGCTCCCCAGATACTGCCTTTGCGTCCCCCCAGGAGGAGGGAGAGGAGCCCAGCAGCACAGCTGAGAGCAGCGAACGTTCTGAGCCCAGCCTGCTCATCCCCGAAATGAAGGACACTTCCATGGAGCGCTTAGGGCAGCCCCTGAGTAAGGTCATTGACCAGCTCAACGGGCAGCTGGACCCCAGCACATGGTGCTCCCACATTGAGCCGCCGGACCAGTCCTTTCGGACCGGCTCTCCCGGGGATGCCCCGGAGAAGCCGCCAGATAGCGACTTTAGTGAGGGGCTTCCAGCCCCCATGGACTTCTACCGCTTTACCGTCGAGAGTCCAAGCGCTGTTACATCAGGTGGCGGCAACCATGACCCTGCAGGGCCTGGCCAACCGCCGCATGTTCCTGGTAGCCCTGCGACTGCTGGCCAAGAAGAAGAGGGAGGAGCAGCAGGAGCAGGGGGACAGGCACCTCGGCCTGTAGAACACGCCCCCGGGGAGGCCCAGGAGCCGGAGACCCAGGAACAGGAGACCCGGATGCCCCTGGCTGGGGAGGGGCCTGTGCCTGACCCAGAGCCTGGGACCCAGGAGGCTCTTTGCCAACTCAAGAGAGACCAGCCCAGCCCCTGTCTGAGCAGCGCTGAGGACTCTGGGGTGGATGAGGGGCAGGGGAGCCCTTCTGAGATGACCCACTCAGCAGAGTTCAGGTGAGCGAGGCTCCCTGCGCAGCAGGTGTTAAGACACCCTTCTGGCCCTTGCCATGGGGACACTGTACTCCAACCTCCAAATAAACTAAGCGCAGGTCCCGCAAAACCCATTCTGAGCTGGGAGGTAAGAAGGGATATGGCCCTCCCTTCCCTCACTTCATCTCCTGGTATGGCTACAGCCACTACAACTGGGCTGCCTCTGTCTGCCTGTTTCACCTCTCAGTGCCTGCATCACCTCTCTGTACCCCCATCTCCTTTCCCACTCCTGGCCTAACCTGATACCTTGCCTTCCCCACACTTGTCCTTCTCACAGAGTAGACAACAATCACTTACTTCTGCTGATGATCCATGTGTTTCGAGAAAACGAAGAACAGCTCTTCAAAGTAAGTTCCAGGAACTTAGGAATGAGCCAGAGCCTGCGCAGCAAGGGCGAGGCGGGCTGGGCCACCAGGCAGTTCCGAAGGGGAAGCATGCTGCCCAGGTGGGGCAGGAGCCACAGCGCCTGACCTCTCTCTGCTTCGGCCCCTCAGATGATCCGGATGAGCACGGGGCATATGGAGGGCAACCTGCAGCTGCTGTACGTGCTGCTCACAGACTGCTATGTCTACCTGCTGCGGAAAGGTGCCTGCTGCCCCCAGCTAGGCCAGGGCACTGCCCGGAGGCTGAGGAGGCTGAACGCCACCCCTCACCCCCGACCCCCACCGAGGGTCTCGGGTTCCTGACTTGTGCTGATGAAAATGCATTCCACGAATGGGTGGCTTGACGTCCCAAGACTTGAGCCTGGGGGCCTCCCTGCAGAGCACCCCATGTCGCGTTCCTACTCTGTGCTTTCGGGTCACAGGGCGATGACGAGCCCTGTCTCAGAGAGGTGTCATAGCTTAGAAAATGGGGCAGAGGAGGAGAAAGAGGCCACGGGGGTAATAGGCATTGGGGTCTCCCCTCAGGGGCCACAGAGAAGCCATACCTAGTGGAAGAGGCCATCTCTTACAATGAACTCGACTACGTGTCGGTGAGTTTGGGCTCCTCGGTTGGGGTATGGCATGGATGGGGCCCCCTCAGAGCTACAGAGCCCCAGCCTTGGCCCCTGGGGTCAGGCCCCAGCTTCTCTCTCAGAGAAGCTTCTGTACATGACGCTGGGCCCAAGACCAAGCTTGAGACGCCTCTTCATCCACCACCCTCCCTCACTTTGCCAGTCCAAGGCCCCTGGGGCTTTGCCATGTGGTTGCCCCAGGGTGTGCATCCTGCCCCCCAGCCAGCTGCCTCTCTACATGTGAGGTGTGGTTTCCGGTAGGTGGGCCTCGACCAGCAGACCGTGAGGCTGGTGTGCACCAACCGCAGGAAGCAGTTTCTACTGGATACGGCCGACTTGACCCTGGCCGAGTAAGTGACACCGCCTGGTGGCATCTGCCCCCCCCTTGGGTGCAGGGTGGGACGTAAGAGGGGGAGACAGGTATGTTCACTTGGCAACCTGCAGGCTGGTGAGAGCATCAGGGTGTGGACACTGATCCACCGACACTGGTGGGCACTCCAAGGACCACAGGCCCCGCATGACCTCCAGAGAGGAGGGGCGGGCAGGAGTTACCCAACGGGAGAGAACGCACCAGGCCCCTGGGGCCAGGGGCTCACGGAGGGCCCGCACGGCCTTCCTCCGTGTGACAGTTACCCATAATAAGAGGCCGCCTCCCTCGCTGTTGGGGTCCAGCCCTGTGGCCACTGGGGAAGGTCGGGGCTTCTCCGGGCTGCCCCTGCACCATCGCCCCACCCACCACCCTGTGCTCTGCTTCCAGCCAGGTCCCCCCTAGTTTTTGCGACCCTTTCAGACCAGAGCGCTTAGCCTAAAAGCCCTGAGCAGTGGAGTGGAGGCACCCCCCTCCACGGCGCTTCTGACAGAGGACCCCACTCCCTGTGCAGGTTCTTTTTGGCTTCTTTGAAGTCAGCCATGATCAAAGGCTGTCGGGAGCCACCCTACCCCAGCATCCTGACCGACGCCACCATGGAAAAGCTGGCACTGGCCAAATTTGTAGCCCAGGAATCTAGATGTGAGGTAAGACCCCGGTGAAGAGGGAGGGGTGTCATCTCCGCGGGACCAGCCCTGGTATTTGGGTCAAAGAAGCAAATAGATGCCCCTGAGAGGGGCACGTCTGCCCTTCCCCCACCGTCCCCTCCCTATTTGGGGGTGACCTTGCTCTCTCAGCGACCACTCCTGGGGCTCAGCCATCAGTGAGCCCGGCCTGGACCTCACCGTTGTGCCCCGCTGCCCGCGCCCTAGGCAACTGCTGTCACTGTGTGCTTCTACGGGCTTGTGCACTGGGAGGACCCCATGGACGAGTCTCTGGGCCCCGTGCCCTGCCACTGCTCACCCCCCGAGGGCACCATCACCAAAGAAGGCATGCTGCACTACAAGGCGGGCACCTCCTACCTGGGCAAGGAACACTGGAAGACCTGCTTCGTGGTGCTCAGGTGGGCGCCCCCCTGCTCTGGCCTCAGGCCCCACCCCAGCCTGTTGGGCCTCCAGGTCCCCAGCAGGGACCTCTCCAGGCAGGTTGCTGGAGACAGGCTGAGGGGGGCGCCTCCCTCCTCCACAGGGCTGTGAGGCAGATAGCCCTGGGGTGTTCGACTTCCTGGAAAGCCCACCACCTTTGGGGGCCCAGGAATCCCGGACGCCTCAGGTGAAGATCTGGGCTGGGATGCAGAGGGGCCTGTGCTCCCTGCTGCCCTTCTTCCCTCTGCTTCTTCACCCCCCATCCACGGAAGACAGGTCTCTGGGGTGCCAGACCCCAGCTTGTGGGGATTCCCTGGGGTCTGGGCTCTGACCCCTGCTGTGTTGTCTCCCTGCAGCAACGGGATCCTCTACCAGTATCCCGACCGCACCGACGTCACCCCCCTGCTCTCAGTGAACATGGGGTGAGTGTCCTGGGGACGGGGCGCTTGGCAGGTGTTGGAACCTGGAGTCACTGCCTGGAGCTGCTAATCCTGGGGCCCAGGGCTCCTGTCCCTGCCGCTTGAACTGGCTCTCCCCCTCTTACTGGTTCCCCCGTCCCTGCCCCAGCCCCAGCCCCACCCAGCAGCCCTGGCCCGTGCCCTGGGGTCTGCTGAGTGCTGCAGGGGGTGGGGAGACGTCCTCTCAGGAAAGCAAATGGAGCGCCTTGGCTGGAAAGGGTCCCATCGGGGAGGGAGGCCGCCCGTCCCCAGAGGCTCCTGGCCCGATGGGGAAGTGGACACACACATCCCTGAAGACCTCAGACCCCCGAGAGGGCAGTGGATGAATGTGCACGGATTCTAAGGCCAGACCTGAGCATTCTGAGTACTGGATCGACTCACCCCTCTCACTTGGCCAGGTTTTAGGGATCTAGAAGGATCTTGGTGATTCTGGATATAACAGACATTCCACAGGAAAGGGGGGGCTGCCCAGCAGCTTTAAGCCCCTCCCTAGCACCACAGGGGCCCACACACCTTCCGGTGCCCTCAGACTGGGGCGGGCCAGGGCCCCCACCCCACGCCGCCCCTGCCTCCTCCCTCCCATTTCACCCTCCTCCTCTGGCCCAGGGGGGAGCAGTGCGGTGGCTGCCGGAGATCCAACACCACGGACCGGCCCCACGCCTTCCAGGTCATCCTCTCCGACCGGCCCTGCCTGGAGCTGAGCGCCGACAGCGAAGCCGAGATGGCCGACTGGATGCAGCACCTCTGCCAGGCCGTGTCCAAAGGGGTGAGCTCCTCTCACCTCTGCTGTCCGCCCGCAGCCAGCCCTGTCCAGGACCCCCAGGCCCCTTCCCCAAAGCCACTATGGAGCAACCTGTGAGGACCAAGACAGCACCTCAGGGGACCGCCCAGGAGCCGACCGTGGCACTCAGGGCCACCTTTGGCCCAGGCGGCCCCTGTCACCCTTCTCCCCTGCGACGGCCCTGAGGTGGGCAGAGCCTGCCTGAGCTCTGGAGGGAGGGACCAAACTGCCCCTCTCTCCCTTCTCCTACGCCCCATCAGGTCATCCCCCAAGGGGTCGCCCCCAGCCCCTGCATCCCCTGCTGCCTGGTCATCACCGAGGACCGCCTCTTCACGTGCCACGAAGATTGCCAGACCAGCTTCTTCCGCTCCCTGGGCACAGCCAAGCTGGCCGACATCAGCGCCGTCTCCACGGAGTCCGGCAAGGAGTACTGTGTCTTGGTGAGCTGGGTGGGGGCGCTGGCGGCAGGTCCGATGGCCCGAGCGCTGTCTGCTCACAGGGCCCGGCTCTCCCTAGGAGTTCTCCCCGGACAGCCAGCAGCCCCTCCCTCCCTGGGTCATCTACTTGAGCTGCACGTCTGAACTGGACAGATTCCTGTCTGCACTGAACTCTGGGTGGAAAACCATCTACCAGGTACCTCTTGGCCTGGCCCGTTCCCTGGGGAGGGCCCCTGCAGCCAGGACCAGGCCCTGCCTAGCACGGAGGCCGGGGGCAGGGGCCTGGGGACCGTGCTGGCAGTTCCAGGACAGACACCAACACGAGGGCCAAAGGGCACGACTCTGACTCCCACTGAGTCTGAGGCCAAAGCTGAAAGTGGAACTGAGGAGGCGCCGCCTTTCCTCACCTCAGTTCCCATCAAAAAGGACTAAGAGCTTATGGAGCTGAGCCCAGATGCTGAGGCACCCGGGTGGCGGGACACCCTTCCTCGCCCTCAGCGCGGCCCGCCCGCCGGCGTGGGCACACACAGCTGGCAAGCAGGCGGGAGCACACGCCCTGTGTGCAGGTTACTCGGGGGAGGGCTGCTTCCCGGGACCCGCTGAGAACTGGGGCCCACACGGAGAGCGGGGCTCAGGGAGAGTCACCCTGTCCACTCGAGCCCCTCCTTGAAAAGCAACCTTGCCATAGTTCCGGGGTGAGGCTACACTGTGCGGATGGGCCTCCACTGCCCCCCGACTCTCTGGGGGCCAGGGGCCCTGGGTGGCGGTGCTCACAGCCTCTCTGCGCCCCGCCCAGGTGGACCTCCCCCAGAAGGCCATCCAGGAGGCCTCCACCAAGAAGTTTGAGGACGCCCTGAGCCTCATCCACAGCGCCTGGCAGCGGAGTGACAGCCTCTGCCGGGGCAGAGCCTCCCGGGACCCCTGGTGCTGAGGCAGAGGCGCCGGCAGGGACACCGAGGCTGGTGGCCAGGGGGCAGGAAAGGAGGCTCATGGCCACGTCGTCGTGCCGCTCAGGGCTGGCTTCCCCTCGTCCACAGCCCGCTTCTGCCCCAGGCAGCGGGGCCACCGCAGGGCAAGGGGCGGGAGACGTCTCCCCGCTCTCAGGGGTCGGGACGGGCCCTGGGCATCCTGCTGACAGGGGGCGACTGGATGCTGGGGGAGAGGGTCTGAGCCCCGTGGGCTCTGCCAGCGCGGCCTCCTCCCCGGGGCCCATTGCTGCAGCGGCGCAAATCTGCAGAACAGCTCCGAGGGGAGCAGGACTGGGAGGGCAGGTGCCTCCTTCCTCTCCTGGGGCCGGAGCCCGAGCGCCCAGCCGCCCCGTCGTTGACCCCGCTGTGCAGGGAGGCGGGAGCTCCGGCCTCAGTGCATGCTTCTCCTCACTAGCCGCCCCGAGTGCGCTGCTGCCGGCGGGGGTGGGCGGGCCGGGGCCGGCTGCCAGGCAGCCCTGCATGTCCACAGCGCCTGCCCCTGCCTCTCCCGAGTGCGGCGTGCCCGTGCCCGTAGCACCCAGGAATGAGGCTGTCGCCCCGGGCTGGGGCAAGGGGCCGGGAGGAGACTTGGAGAGGAGCAGGCCGAGCAGGCCCACCAGCCTGGTGTCCGCACCGGCCCCTCCCAACCGGCCCCTGCTGGCTGGGTCTGGGCCTTCTTGAGAGCTTCGTCCAGGGCCCCCTGGGGAAGGGTCAGGTAGTCTGGGGTTGTTTTTTAAATAAAATAGACATGTTATATTGCCGAGACTTGTCACTGGCCCTTTTTGACCAGGGTGGAGGCAGGGCCTCCCTCCCGCAGGCCCCTCGCCTTTCCTGTCATTCCACAGATGTTCTTCCTTCAGCTGCTCCTGGGCGCCTCTTGGCACTCGCTGCAGAGGCGCTCAGGTCCTGGGAGTTTCTTGGCTTGAACTTTGCCCTCCCTGCTGTTTCTTACTGTGGCCAAGGGCAGCCGCCAGCTCCAGTCCAGGGCAGGGCACTCCTGACTCCCAGTTCTGGGGGGGGCGTGCCAGCCACTCGGGATAAACCCAGGCGAGTCCAAGCTCTCCCTCAGGCCTCTCTTCGAGCCGCCCCCGCAAACAGGCCAGGGAGGGCCAAGTCAGCCAGGCTGGGCAAGCTCAGGTCCTCCAGCCCTTCAGCACCCCGGCTCCCAGGGCCTCACGCCCGGGAGGAAGGGTGGTGCCCGAGGAGGGGTGTCGAGCCTGTCGAGGTGGGTTCCAGGCAGGGTGGCTCTGCCTCTGCATCAGTGAGCTTTTGGGTATACGGGGCGGCCCTGCAGGAGAGAGCTGCCTTGGGGAGAGGCCGCCATGGGCAGCAGGTGCTGGTCCCCACCCGAGCAGACCAGCACCTACCAGTGGTGGCCGGGGCCCCTCACCGGCCACAGCAGGGGCCGTTTCCATGTCATGGCCCCTCCTGAGAGCTCAGAGGGGGCTACCACTAGGAGGAGGGCCGGACTGGGGGGCACATCCTTACCTAGTGTGTGAGCAAAATCAGGAGGCCACTCCTTCTGTCTCCTGCCCACCCAGGGGCCCTGAAATCTTGGGGGGCAGGAATGGGGAGAAAGGAGCCAGAGGCAGGGGGTTCATTGGGTGAAGCGCTGTGCTGGGTATGCTCTTCACCCCTCCTGATTCTCCAAGACCCTCTGAAGGAGGTATCGAGAGCCCCATTTTGCAAATGGAGAGACTGAAAGTCAGAGAGAGATGACTTGCCCCGGGGGGACCCCATATAGGGGGGAGGGACAGATCAGAAGCCTGAGGCCAGGAAGGGACGTCACCCCGATTGGCAGGAGTGGAGTGGACAGGGCACCCCCCTGGAGCAGTTGTCCAGGCAGGACCAGCTAAGCCAGAGGCCCGCAGGGGCACCTGCCCTCTGTCCCCGAGAGGAGGAAGGTGCTGGAGGGCAAGAAGGGCAGGAGGAGGCATCTGGGCTGACTGGCAGCTCCCTACCCTCACTCCCTTGCCCCAGGTGACCTTTCCCCCAGATCCCAGGGTCCAGACCCGCCCTGCCAGCTGGGAGGTGTGGAGGACAGAGGCCGCTGGGATTGGTCAGAGCTGGTGGGGGCGTGTCCTGGTCTCGGCAGCCCCAGCCCGAGCAGGTGAATTCCCGAGAAGGACCAGACCAGGCACCAGGGACAGCCTGGCAGCCGCTGGCCTATCCCACCAGAACCCCGCTCTCCAGTCATGGCCCCAGGCCTCCTCATTTCCCAACCCTTTGGCCCTGTGGGGGCGCAGACAGCCTAAGCAGCACCACCCCAGGACTGTGCCATGCCTCTCACCCCGGGACAGCCAGCCCCTGGCTCAGAGTCTGCGGAGATGGTGACCCCAGCAATGGACCTGGTGCTGGGCGCCTCAGCTTGTTGCCTGGCTTGTGTCTTCACCAACCCCCTGGAGGTGGTGAAGACGCGGCTACAGCTGCAGGGGGAGCTGCAGGCCCCGGGCACCTACCCGCAGCCCTACCGGGGCTTTGTGGCCTCCGTAGCTGCCGTGGCCCGGGCAGATGGGCTGTGCGGCCTGCAGAAGGGGCTGGCCGCCGGCCTCCTCTACCAGGGCGTCATGAACGGCGTCCGCTTCTACTGCTACAGCCTGGCATGCCAGACTGGCCTCACCCAGCAGCCCGGTGGCACCCTGGTCGCGGGTGCTGTGGCTGGGGCACTGGGGGCCTTCGTGGGAAGCCCTGCTTACCTGGTAAGTGGCTTGTCTCCATCCTCCATCACCCATTGGCCCAGCTCCCTGGGGGCACTGGGGACTCCTGACCTCCCCGGCTGGACCAAGTGGGGTGGGGCAGACTGGGTGGGGATGCTCCCTAGAATAACCAGATCCAGACCTGGAATCTACCCAGGATCCTGGCTGATCCTCGCTCCCCTGAGCCCCTGCCCTGCTGGTCCTGAGCTGGGGAGCAGGCAGGGGTGGTGACTCAAGCCCGGCCCTGTCACCTGTCTTGCTGTGTGGCCTGCGCATGCTGGAATAAAGGCTTCTGTTTGGCATGCCCCCGCCCCTGAGATGCAGCCCTAAGCCAGCATCTCAGTCCTTGGAACAGCTTCTCAAGGGTGACAAGGTGCCCCTGGAAGGTCAAATAATGTGCCCAGGTCACACCAAATAATGTGCCCAGGTCACACCTTCCCCTAAGCTGAGGTGGTGGGGGGCTCATGGAGGCAGGGCAGTCGGGACCCGGGGGGGTGCCCCCCAGAGGGCACTGCTTATGCAGGCTCTCTAGGACTCTGTCCCAAGCCTCTGTCCCCTCTGTGCTCATAGGTCAAAACGCAGCTGCAAGCCCAGACAGTGGCTGCGATGGCTGTAGGGCACCAGCACCACCACCAGGTGGGTCATCCCTCGCTCCCCAGGGTGCCTGGGCTGGGGGAGCTGGATGGGCTCCGGAGCTGGCAGGGGCTGCCCAGTGATCCCGTGCTCTCTCCCCACAGAGCATCCTGGGCGCCTTGGAGACCATCTGGCGGCAGCAGGGCCTGGCGGGGCTGTGGCGGGGCGTGGGCGGGGCCGTGCCCCGAGTCATGGTCGGCTCAGCCGCCCAGCTGGCCACCTTTGCCTCCGCCAAGGCCTGGGTACAAGAGCGACAGGTGAGGGCCGGGGACACCTGTGCCCACCCTCAGACACAGGCATGAAGAGGGCCGCCTGCCTCCTTTGTCCCTCTCTTTGGGCCCACAAGCTCCCTCATATCTCCAGCTGGACCCCCACAGTGGACGATGGGGACCCCTGGAACAGTGGGCACCGTGGCTCAGCCCTCATGGGTGGTAGCTCGAGGAATGTAAAGAGCTGGGGGTGATGGGCTGGGGAACGGCTGGTGGGCTCCCGTCTGCTCTGTCCCCACTCTCCCAGCCCCCGAGTGCTGGGGAGCTGGGCGGGCAGAGGGCAGCCTCCGGGGTCACAGCCTGAACGGTGCCCACAGTGGCTCCCAGAGGACAGCTGGCTGGTGGCTCTGGCCGGAGGCATGATCAGCAGCATCGCCGTGGTCGCCGTCATGACGCCCTTCGACGTGATCAGCACCCGGCTGTACAATCAGCCTGTGGATGGAGCTGGCAGGGTGAGCAGAGGTGGATGCGGGGGAGCATGGGGGGTGCCCCCACAACACAGAGCCTCACAGACACAGGGACTCGCAGACACATGACAGGGGTGCAAGCTCATCAGTTCAGCATGTTTGCTGAGCGCCGAGGTCCTAGGCGTGTGCTAGGGAAGCACTTTCACATCCAGGTTCCCTTCCATCCTCATAACCCCCCCCCACTTCCCTGAGGGGAATCGGGCTCAGTGACTGGCCTGAGGTTGCCCAGCAGGTAAATGGAGGAGCCTTCGTGGGAATCCAGCCTGACTGCACAACCTCATGCATGAACACTGGGAAGGCTGGGGCAGGTGAAAACAAAGATGCCCTCCACGGGCTGAGCTAGGGATGAAGGGCACCTGGGCGCCACGAGCCAAGCAGAAACCCCTGGCATGGTGTGGGGCCACCTTTTCTGTGACTTGCCCCTTGGGGTGGGGGAGGGCTCCCTTCCTTTCTGATGTGCCAGCAGAAGCCCAGACACTCAGTGGTGCCAGCCAGGGCCCCATGCCCCGCGTCGTGACCCCTGCTCCATGTCTGTCCCCAGGGCCAGCTGTATCAGGGCCTTGCTGACTGCCTGGTGAAGATCTGGCGGCAGGAAGGCCCCCAGGCGCTCTACAAGGGCCTGGGCCCGGCCTACCTGCGCCTGGGCCCCCACACCATCCTCAGCATGCTGTTCTGGGATGAGCTCCGCAACCTGGTCGGGCGGGGCCGGCACCAGGGCCCCTAGGCACGTCCTGCGCCCACACACCCCGACCGCCAGGACTCCACAGGAAGCCAGGGCCCACTCCGGGAGGGATGGGCGCCCCTGCACTGGCCCCAGCACAGGACCCCAGCCTGGGCCCTGCTACAGGTTCGGGGAAAGTGCGGATAATTCATCAGCCACGGCTCCCAGAGCCCGAGCATCTGCCCCGAATGACCGCCGGCTCTCGTCTCGAGAAAGTGTTCTTCCCTCTCTGTCCTGGGTCACTTCACCCCAGAGCCCGACTCATCGATAGGATGACCGCTCCAGGCCTGGCCCTCCAGCGCGGCGAGCCCAGCATGAAACCCCCTCTACTGATGGGGACGCTGAGGCTCCGGAGGGGGTTGCATCTTCCACCAAAACCCCCAGCCTTGCAGCGCCAGGGCCAAGGCTGGAACACAAGGCAACCCACACCGACCTGTGCCCTTGCAAGGTCACCTCCGCGCCAGGCCCCGGCGGCTGGAGTGGCCCTGAGGGGTCTCTGTCCGTCTGAGGGTGGATGAGGGGCGGCAGCTGGGGTGCCCCGTGAGGCGGTCGCCGCCGTGTTAGGCTGCTGGGCTGCTGTGATATCAAGTCCCGCCAGCGGGGCGGCTCTGATGGCCGAAAGCCCCCCTCCTAGTGCTGCGGGCGAGATGGCCGAGGCCACCGTGTCACAGGGCTGGTTTCTTCGGAGACCTCTCTCCCGGGCTTCTCCCTGCACCCCCCGGGGTCCTCCCTCTGATATCCGTGTCCTAAGCTTACCCGGACACCGGGCATACTGGATTCCAACCCCCAGTGACCGCGCGTGAACGAAGGGACCTCCTGAAAGACCCTGCCTGCACACACAGCACCTCCGGAGCTGGGGAGGGGGCAGCGCTTCCATATTTGAGCGTGTGCGGGGCCACGGGTCAGCCTGTAACGTCCACGGAGTGCCTGTGGGCCAGCGGCCCATCCTCTCCACCGTGCTCCCCTCTTGAGAGGCCCCTTGTTTACATGAGACTCAGCCCGGGGAGGGAGGGACTCGCCCCAGGGGAGGAGCAGAGCCGGGTGTCCTCAACCCCCAGGAGGGCCTCATCTTCACCCCAAGCGGCAGCCGCACTCCTCTGAGGCCCACACTGACCTGAGGAGGACCCCGGGGCTCCAGAACCACCTTCTCTCCACACTCCGTGCCCGAAGAGCTGCTGCCCGGGGCACCCCCACCGCACACTCCAATAAAGCTTTCTACTTTGTTTACTTCAGTGACTCCCCTCTGCTGACAGTCTCGTCTCCCCACCTTTGGCTCCCTCGCCAGAATCGGGGCCCAGCAGCCCTACCTGCCCTGCCCAGGCCAGGCCTGCCACCTAGTGGACAGCGTGGTTGAGGCCGCTGCACCCAGGCCTGAGAGGAGCCTGGACACCCTCCCATCAGCCCCGCCCGAGTGCAGCGCCTACGTCAGGCATGGGGGGCTGACAGAGCCCCTTCCAGGCCTTAGGCTGAGAGCAGAGCCTGACCTCAGGGTGGGGGACAACAGATGGCAGGCGGCTTGGGGCCTCAGGAAGGTGCGTGGCAAGTCCCAGGGGACGGTGAGAAAAGCCGGCCCCAGACTTTGGCTGGGACAGAGAGCAGACGCCAGTCCAGAGGCTGCTTCGCCCACTGCGCCGTGGGAGTGCCAGGCAGCGATTGGCTCCCAGTGCCCCTTACCCTGCAGGGGACGGGCTAAGGCCCATGGCTTCCCTCCCTTCCCCTGGTCTTTTGACCCCTCCGAGCCCCTCCCCTCCCCTCCTCGGACACCTTTGCCCGGTGACGTTCGTCTCTCCCATGTGGACCCGGCTGGAGGCTGGGGCTGGATCCCGGCAGCCATGTTCTCCCTGCCGTCCCTCCCCTCCTGGGTCCCCAGCCTCCCCGCCCTCCAGTGGGGCTCCAGCCTCCTGGACTCCCTCCTGCAAGGTGAGCACCACCCCCCCCCACCCTGCATCAGCCCCACCCCTCTCATGCTCTGGGCCCGAGGGTGGACCCCACCCCTTGGGGCTCCCGGCACTGGCCGCTCCCTCCTAACCCTACCACTCGCATCTGCCCTCCCTTCTACCCCTCAGGCCTCATTGGGGCCTGTGGAGTGTCCGTTCTCAACAGCCTCCTGAAGGTCTACTTCTTCGTGGGCTGTGCCAAGTAAGTGCCCACCACCCCTGCCCACTCCTGGCCCCTTGTCAGACTGGACCACGGCTGCGACCGGGCCTCTGAGGGGAGGAGACCAGCCCTCCCTTCAGAGTGCGATGGGGTCCCTGGGACACCCCTAGGGCCCAGGTTGCTCCTCTGCCCACACCCACTCTTGCCCCCACAGCAACCCAAAAAGGCGGCTTGAAAAGGAGCGACTGCAGGCCCAGTGGGCCTCCCTGGAGACGGTGCACCTGGCGGGGCTGGCCCTGATTCTGACTGTAGTGGGGGCCCGGGTGGCTGCCCTGGTGGCGCTGGAGTTCTCCCTCAGGGCGGTCTCCACGCTGCTCTCCCTGGACAAGGTGAGAGGCCGGGGTGTCCCTGGCCGGGGTCCTCACCTCCACCCAGCACTCGGGAGCCGGGCCCCTCACAGCAGCCCTGGCTCGTCAGCACGCCCTCCTGTAAGAGGGCGAGGTCAGTGTGCAGATGGCTTCCGTGGGTTTTGATGGCGAAAGCCAAGTGTCCACTCAGTGGAGTCCCAAGAAGTTGCTAGAAACAGCTCTGGGGTACAAGCCTCCAGGTGCCGGCCACCTGCATCATCTCAGCCTCACAAACTGGGGGGTCACGCTGTGCTGGGACTTCAGGCAGGAACAGAGCAAGGTGGAGTCGGCCTCTGAGCCCCCGCACCCCCAAGCAGATGGGTCCCACCTCATAATGGAGCCAAGAGCACAGGTGCGTTAGGGCGATCCCTCTCCGGGAAGGAGCCCCAAGTTTTCTTCAGGCTCCAGCCCCCATAGACCAGAGCTCCCATCACCTGACAGTCCTCTTGGGTCCCTGTGGGGGGAGGCCCGAGACCCCGTCATCTCGCCCCTTCTGCCACCTTCCCCCAGGGCTCCCGGGGCACTGAGAGGCTGCAGCTGTACCTGCTGTGCCAGTTCTCCCTGGGCTGCGGACTGACCTGCGGCCTGAGCTTCCTGCAGGAGGGCGCCCCGCACAGCACTTTCAACCTGCTGCTGGGGCTCCTGCTGGCCGCGCTGCTCAGCACAGGTGCCCGGCGCCTGCGCCACCACGTCTGCCGCCTCTATGAGCTGCACAGCAGCCAGCACTACTGCGGGGTCTGCCTGGGCCTGCTGGCCGGTGGCGATGACCTGCTCCGGCTGCTGGGCCGTGCCCTGGCCATGGCCTTCATCGTGGGTGACCTGGCGGCTGTGGCCCTCATCAACCGGGACTTCCTGACCACCTCGGAGGCCGTGCGCTTCTGGACGCCGCTCACCATCTGCTACACCCTGCTGGTCATCTACATGCAGGGTGAGGGCCGCGGGCAGGCACAGCCAGCGGGTGGCTCACCCCTGGGCACTTACAGCCCACTGCAAGCCGCCCAGCACGGCCAGGCCCACCCGCCCACTGAGCTGGAGCACCCCGAGCCCCAAGCACCATGGCAAGGTCACTGGCCGGGCGGCTTGGAGAAGGGCGTGGTGTGTGGTAGGAACTCTGAAGAGAGGCCTGCATTGGGCTTTTTTTTTTTTTTAAGATTTATTTATTTATTTATACAAGCACTGGGTACAGTCAGAAGCGCGGGAAGGTGAGAGGATTCACCAGAGCCAGAGCGGGGAGCAGAGCAGGCAGAAGGACCGAAGTACACTGCTGAGGGGAGCAGCGGGCGGCAGGAGAGGTCTGCGCGCATGCGGGACCCTCACCCAGCGGCCGGGGATCGAACCGGCGCTGCAGAGGCTGCGGGCAGCTTCGCAGCCCAGCGCTCAACCGCTGCACCACCAGGGGAGGCCCTGCATTGGGCCTTGAAGGAAATAAGAGGTAGCCCTGACTGAGGTGAGGGGGGAGGAGAAGATTTGGAAAGAGGGAACCATGAATGCCAAAGCCCAGAAGTGAGAGAGCGCGTAACAGTGTCAAACAACTGAGCAAAGTCGAGTGTCCTGGCGCCCAGGGGCTTGGGAAGAGGTTCGGAGGGGCACTTGTCAGCCAGGCGGGGCAGTGAGAAGCTGATACAGGGTATAAGGAGGGGAGAGTGACCTAGTCTGGTCTGGCCTTTAGAAAGAGCCGCCTCAGCTGGCTGCAGGGTGGGGCTGGGGTAAAGGAGGAGGGATGAGGAAGGGCGGTCAGGCAAAGAGCCGGTAGGTGCAAAGGCCCTGAGGTGGACATGAGCTGGGCTGTGCTAGAGGAACAGGAAATCCGAGGTGGCCGGGGAGGACTGAGCAAGGGGAGCGTGTCGGCGAGGGGATGAGGTTAGACAGCAGGTGATGGGGCCTGGGAAGGCCAGGTAGGGTGTTTGGAGTCCGCAGTGGCCAGTCCTGGGAGGATCGTAAGCGGAGGAATGGTTACGCCTCGTTGCTGTGTTTAGATGGCCATGAGCAGAGGCCGGGAGCCCAGTGGCGAGGTCGCCACCAGACACCGAGGCTGCTGGGCCAAGGAGCTCAGTGGGAGCGGCGGGAGGGCTCGGCTGAGAATCCAGGCCACCGAAAGGGCCATGGGGCTGCCTGATGGCTCAAAGGGGGTTGCGGGAAGTCAGGACACAAGGGGCAGCTGGCAGTGCTGGGTCCTGATGCAGGAGGAGCAAGGGGAGGAGAGGCAGGTGGGGACCTGGATGTGGTGGGCAGGTGGTGACAGGCCCCCACTCTTCACAGAGGCGCAGCAACTGCACCCCGGGATGCAAGGCCAGGTCCAGACGGTGCTGGTGCGTATGGGTGGCCTCTTTGTGCTGCTGCTGACGGTGGGCAGCTGGCTGGACCTCCTCGGTATTTCTATCTCCCTCCTGGGCGAGCTCTGGTGCCTGGTGGGCGCCCGCACCCTGATCGACCTCTGCCAGACACAGGTGGGCACACCTCCACATGGTCCCCCAGACACTGAAGCCCTGTCCCAGACAACCCTGGGAGCCTCCACAGGCCAGGACATCCTCTCTGGTGGGGGCCGGGGGGCTAATGGGAGCTGGAATCCCCTCTCCCAATTGCTGTTACCCTTTGTCCCCACTACACCTAGGGTCGCGAGCAGCAGGGAGGCTGAGGGGCACCCCCATCCCATTCATACTCACTTGATCCTGTGCCCCAGAGGCCTCAAATGGGAACAAGGTCCCAGAAGATTGGAGGCCTGAGACTCCCTCCCCCCAGGGCATGGGGCATTGAGTGGTGTTCTACATCCTTTCCTCCCTGCCTTCCCTCAGGATTTTCCATACCAGAGGCCTGCAGCATCTGTTTCAAGCCAGTCCCAGGCCTCAGCACCGGCCCAGGCCCAGGCCCAGCCCTCAGCATCTGCCAAGCCCCAGAAAGCAGCCCCGTCCTGACCTGCCTTCACAAGGACTTGCCATCTGTCTCAGGCCACCCGGGATCACTTGGAGGACTGAAAATCCAGGATGCTGCCTGAAAATGGAGTGGCAGGGCTGGCCCCCCACCTGGCTGGGGGCCCTCGGGAAGGGTAGGGCACCTGAAGGCTGCTGGGTAATCTCTTTTCCTCAGGGCAGCCCATGGATAGAGACCCTGGGCCTACCTTGCTAGGAGGGCAGAGGGATAGGGAGAGAACTACCTGCTCAGAACGGCTTCCCCTGTCCCGGCCTCCCCTGCCCTCTCCATGAACAATAAAAATTATTTTCAATCTGTGCTCAGAACCATGAACTCACAGAGGAAAGGAGGCTTTTTCTTTTTTTTAAGATTTATTTATTTATGCATTCAAGAACTGGGGTGTGGGCCAGAGGTGCAGGGGGTGAGAGGATTCACCAGAGAGAGTGGGGAGCAGAACAGGCAGACGGACTGAAACACACTGCTGAGGGGAGCAGCGGGAGACAGGAGAGGTCTGCTGCGCCATGTGGGTAGCTCCCTGGCCAGGGATCAAACTCGTGCTGCAGCCACAGAAGGCCACTGCCTCAGGGCAGGCCAGGGCTGCCAGAGACACCCTGGGGCCCACCACGGATGCAGGGGCAGCTGGACCAAGGCTGAGCAGGTAGTTTTGACTCAACCCATCAGGAATGGCCACCTAAGAGACAGCTTGAGCCCGACCACTGGTCTCTGACTCCTGAGAGGGGCCTCTTCACCCTGGGGGCTGAGGTGGGGAAACGCCTGCGGATACCTTCCTCCCGGTGCCGGCCCAGGCCCCCCACCCGGCAGCGTGCTCGGTGTGCTCTGGACAGGAAAGTCACCCTGTCTGGGAGGAAGCGGCCCAGCTGGGTGGGCACAGGGCCAGCCCCTCCTCAGACCCAGACTGGGCATCGGGTTCCAACCCCAGCCCGTTGTTTTTGCTGGAACGTGCTCCGGGCTCCCGTCCCCCCACTTCTTGGACCTGGGGACGGGGCTGGGGAGGTGCTGGACTCACTGGTCCTTTCCTTTTTATGGGCACTGAGACCGTTTTCCAAACAAAAATGGGGCCACGTGGGCGGGAATGGGATTCTTTTCTTATCTAGCAATTTATTTTTGTGAAAAGCCTGACAAGGGCATAAAAATGAGCTCACTCTCGGCAAGGCGGCGAGCAACTCTCCATGCCACACAAAGAAGCAGGCCTGAAGTCCAGCGGGCAGAGGAAACGGGACCGGTGTGGTCGGGGGCACAGGCACGAGGCTGGGACTTGTTCTCCCAGCCCTGCCCAAGGGAAGGGACACCAGAGCCACACACCCCCTCCACCGCCTACTGGGGACGGTGACTTCTGGGGTGGCTGGAATTGGGGTGAGCCCCCCCAACCTCCTCAACACTCACTCTGGCTTTTCTGGGTGCCCTGCCTTCCTCCCCCCTTCACCCACACACCAGTCATCACTGAAAGTCCACGCAGGCAACGAGTTCTGTCAGGAAAAGCAAAGCTGTGGGCGCCTCCCCTGGGGGTTGAGTCTCAGCACTGTCACCTCCGCGGCCTGGGTTTGAGCCCCGGCCAGGGAGTGGCCAAAACTGGTTGGATTCTGGGCTTGTTCTGAAGAGTTGATGGGATTTCCTGATCAATTAGGTACAGGTTTGAGAGAAAGGAAGGAAGGAGGGAGGGCAGTATAGGGGTTCTTAGATTTTTGGCCTGAACAGCCGTGTGATGTGAATGAGAAATGCGGGGTGTCTTAGGGGCAGATTAAGGCACCCCGTGCAGGGGCTGTCAGCCCTATGGAAGGTCTGGTGTGAGGTGCCTGTGATGTGATCTGGGGTTTGGGGTCCTCACTGAGGAAGCATTGCCGAACCCGAATCCTGAAGGTTGAGGAGGAGTCTGGGGACAAGTGGGGTGCCGTGAAGCCAGCCATGTCGTCAGCCTCCTTAAGGCCAGAGCAGAGGGGCGAAGGGCACAGTGGTGGGAGATGCCGCTGGAGGCAGCCTCGGGAGCAGTGGGGAGCCACAGGGCAGTCCCGGGCCTGCGGGGACAGATGCTGCTGGCTGCGTTGTGGAGAATGAACTGGAAGGAGAAAGAGTAGGGCAAATCCAATGTCAAGGGGCCCCGTTTAGGAAACATTTATTTAGGATGAGAAAGGAAAGCACAACAAACAAATCACTGGGGCCCTGGATACCTGGGTCCATTCTTGCTCTGGCCTCCGGCAGTTTGCCAGGAGCCCAATGGGAAATGTTTCCTGAGTAGAGCCTGGCTCTGCTTCCCTCCTTGAACATTCTGTAGCTCCCAGCAGCCCCAGCCCTCACAGGCCATGCAAGGGACAGGCACAGGCCATGCAAGGGACAGACAGGCTCAGCTTGTGCTTCATGAACTCCACAGGAAGCCCGCCTCCGGCTGAGAGACAAATGGGGAGGCCAGCTGGGGGCCGTGGCCGGTCTAGGCCATGTTATGTTTAGTGAACAGGGTCTCGGGGTGGGGGTGCTGAGCAAATCAGCACAGTCTCCAGAGGAGGGAGTGGAAGCAGGGAGGGGGGCCAAAGAGGCTTGAGGTTCTGCAGGCTGAGAGGGCCCCTGCATGAGCCAGGCCTTGAGAGGTGTGAGGTGTTAGGTAGATGCTGCTGGGAGTGAAGGTTCCAGTGAGGGCTTAAGGAGGGCTGGGGCCTGTGAGCAAACAGGGCCTTAGCTTTGTAAACAGCTTGGGGCAGGCTTAGGGACCCTCCAGACTGAGTGACACGAGATTCCTCCTCTCTGTTCTCTGAAGGGACTCTGACCAGCGAGGCCTGGCTCAAGGACACCTCCCACCCCCTCACCTCTCTGCTGCCAGCCTGCTGAGCCTCAAGTTTCCTCCATGGTCCCACTCCACGCTTCCCGCTCAAGTGGGGCCATGGGCCTGTGCTGATTGTCTAAGCCGGTACCCTGGCCGTGGGAGCCAACAGCCCGGCCACAGGCCACTCAGGCCCCTGGACCAGCAGGGGAATCAAGGATGCTGTTGCCACAGCCACCTCTGGGGGGCAGCTAGGGAGGGGCCACAGGGCTGTGACACAGCTCGGTTGGTTTCCCTTGGTTTTGTTTTTTTGTTGTTTTTTTTTTTTATAGAGGAATGTTTTTATTTATTTATTTGTTTGTTTGTTTGATTATACAAGCACTGGGTACAGTCAGAAGCGCGGGAGGGTGAGAGAATTCGCCAGAGCGGGAGCAGAGCAGGCAGAAGGACTGAAGTACACTGCTGAGGGGAGCAGCGGGCGGCAGGAGAGGTCTGCGCGCCATGTGGGACCCTCCTCCGGTGGCCGGGGAGCAGCCGGGGATCGAACCGGCGCTGCAGAGGCTGCGGGCAGCTTCGCAACCCAGCGCTCAACCGCTGCGCCACCGGGGAGACCCAGTTTCCCTTGGTTTTGAACATTTCCCTACAAACTTGGCTTGTTCAGTAAAGGGGCCTGGAGCAAGACTCCCTGGGTTTGAACGAAGCTTAAGGGATAGGACCTTGAGCAAGTCACTCTCTGTGCCTCGGTTTCCTCACCTGTTGAGAGGACTGGACAAGGTGATGGCCGTAGGTGACTTAGCCCAGAGCTGACCATGCCTCTGACGCCGCCTGCCAAGAAGGGAGCCTTCTGAGGAGAAGGAGCAGGGGACACGGCTGGGCGAAGGCGCCAGGAAGGAGGCAGGGACTCAGGTGGCACAAGCAGGAGCCCATCTCCAGGGAGGAAGGGAATAGACACCACCTCCCCACCCCACCCCATCTTCATCCCCAGCGCATCCTGGGAGAGAAAGAGAAGCTTGTCGGAACCTCACTTACAAACAGCTGTTCACATGGCAACTCCCTGGTAAGTTGCCCGGTAAAATGCCTTGTGCTGGGCATTTTTCTTGCATTATTCCCACCCCCTTCCCCCCAGTTCTTCAGAACAACCCGTCAAGAGCTGACTGTTATTGGGGCCTCCCTGGTGGCGCAAGGGGTTAATACACTGCACTATGAAACTTTCCGCTGCCGCTGCAGCACGAGTTCAATCCCCAGCCTTGGAGGTGACCCACATGGCGCAGCAGACCTCTCCCGTCTCGCCCGCTGCTCCCCTCGGCAGTAGATTTCAGAAGATCTGCCTGTTCTGCTCCCCACTCTGTCTCTGGTGAGTCCTCTCACCTCCCGCATCTCTGGCCTGCACCCCAGCAGCTTGTATGCTCTTGTATAAATAAAAATAAATCTTAAAAAAAAAAAAAAGAGTTGACTGTTATCTTCTCTCTGCTCAGAAGAAAACACAAGACTCAGAGCGATTAAGTGACTTACTCAAGGTAATGAGTCGGGGAGCCAAATCCAAAGTCTAGCAGCTCTGACTCCAAAGCCCAAGCTTTTAAAGACTTGCGACCCTTTACTACATCGCATGCGATTTGCATGTGCAACTACCTAAGGTCCCCTTAGTCCTGCACTGAGCCTCCACTACATGCCAAGCATTGTGCTGGGCACTGGAGACACAGAGAGTAGTGACACAATCAGCTGCCACTCAGGTGGGGAAGGCACAATGGGGCAACCCCAGCAACCTGGGGACATATCTATGAAGTAGAAATGACCCCTAAGTGTACCTGGAGGACTCAGGGCAAGCTTCTCAAAAGTGGTGATGGGGTACAAAGCTTGCCAGGAAGAGGTGATCCAGACCTATGGAATCTCACCGGTCTTCACCATGACTCTGCAATAAACAATAGAACTATAGCTTTGACTGGGTGGAGAAAAGGCAAGAAAAATAATGCATGGCCTCCTTTAACCCTCGCGCCACCTCGGTCCTTCTGCCTGCTCTGCTCCCCGCTCTGGCTCTGGTGAGTCCTCTCATCCTCCCATGCTTCTGACTGTACCCAGTGCTTGCATTAATAAATAAATTACATGTCAATATCCTCATATCCTCATATCCTCATTTCCTTGTAAGTTCCATGGGGACACACACTGATTATGTCTGATTTGATTTCTTTTTTTTTAAATATATTTAATATATTAATATATTTTTAATATATTATATTTAATATATTTTTTAAAAGATTTCTTTTTTTAATATATTTTTAAAATATTTATTTATTTATTTATACAGGCACTGGGTACAGTCAAGAAGCGCGGGAGGGTGAGAGAATTCACCAGAGCCAGAGCGGGGAGCAGAGCAGGCAGAAGGACCGAAGTACACTGCTGAGGGGAGCAGCGGGCGGCAGGAGAGGCGGGACCTTCCTCCGGTGGCCGGGGAGCAGCCGGGGATCGAACTGGCGCTGCAGAGGCTGCGGGCAGCTTCGCAACCCAGCGCTCAACCACTGCGCCACCAGGGAGGCCCTGATTTGATTTCTATGGGCTCCACGGCTCATGCCTAGCACACAGTAGGTGTCTAATTAGTGTCTGTTGGATCAGTGTCACCTAGATGGCAGTAGATGCCATGCTCTCCAGCAGGCTGGACAGCAGTGAAGGTCCCCACTGGCCTGCAACTGCCCCCAAAACTCTCTCCCACACCTTCTCTGGCACTCGGCCACAACCCTCGTAGAGGAGAGAGCCTCTTTGCTCACTTCCTTGGAAAAAAGCTGGTCTGAGGCTTGTCTGAGGCTGACCATGCTGGAGGAGGGGAGCCAGTTCTCTGAGCTGGCAGACAAAGGGCGTGTGTTCTCACTGGGTACACTTCCTGGGTTTCCATTGCAGGAAGTTTGGCACCTGCCGAGGTGACACCGACATCTGGGCTGGTGCAGGAGACCCTTGGACAGGACGCTGTCCTCCACCCGGGAGCAGCAGCAGAGGTGGAATAGGTGGCCAGGTGTGCGGATGACAGGTGAGTGGTGACAGCTGTTCCCCACATTCCCCTTAACCACCCCCAAAGCCAGCCTTAACGCAGAGCATATGTGCAAGGCCTGGGTCCTAGACAGTGTCAGTGTGGCCTGAACAAGACCCCAAATTGATGATTTGTTGTCTCGTGGTCCCATCCAGGGGTGCAATGAGGTGGCCTGGGGACATCATGGAGGTGGGGAATGGCAATCTCGCTTTTATCTGTTTAAAGTAAGCATCTGTCACAAAGCATTTGAAAAAGACCAAGGGCACCTTCCTCCTTCAGGCCTTCCCATCCCTGGCGGTCTGCAGGTCCCTCCTTCTTCCTCAGGGAGAGGGTGGGGAGGCCAGCGCTACTGCCCCATGGCGGCCGAGCAGGAATGGGCCTGACCTGGGCTCAGGCAGCCCTGAGTTCTAGTCTCCCTCTGCCCAGTAGAGCCTTCGAGAACTCTTGCCCCCTATCTTGGCATCTATGGGGGTGGCGTGGCCATGGGCCCCTGGACACCTCTTGGTCTGCGTCTGAATCCAGCTCTGCCACTTGCCCCTTGTGTGACTTGAACTTCTTGGGGCCTCGGTCTCTTGTCTGTGACGCCAGAATAATCAGCCCCGGCTCCCGGGGAAGGTCTTAGGCCAAGGCCCGGCCCATAGGAAGCCCCTAGAAATGGCGGCTGCTGTCATGGCTGGTTATTGTCCAGTGAGTGTGGGCATCAAATGCAAAAAAGGGGTGACAAAGTGGGTGAGGGATTTAGGGAAGCTGGGGGAGGAGGAGCAGGAGGGCTTGGGGAGCAGGCAGCCCCCTCACAGGCCCCAGGAGCATGAGCCCCTTGGGTATAGCCCCATCCTGGGCAGGGCAAGTCTAGTTTTGGGCCCCAGGGGAGAGCCAGACCCTCCCTGGCCCCCCACAGATGGCGCTGGGTCCAGCGCCTCTCCACTGCGGCTTTAATCAAGAGAACAATCTGTCTGCCTCGGAATCAGACCCAGATTCCTTTCCCCAGCAATGTTCCCCAGGCCTCCAGGGACTGGGCGGCCCATCCTGCTCCAAGGCCTGCCCCAGAAGACTCTTCTTCCTCCCGGCCCCAGCTCAGGGGTGGGAGGGGCCTGAGGTGACCATGGGAAGGGGTCATGGACAGGGCCCCCAAGACAGGTACTGACCCCTGGCTGGGCCCTGCCCACCTGCCCAGGCCAAGTGGGGGGGTCTGTCCCCAGGCGGGGGGAGCCGCCCGCAGGGGCTTCGGGGTCCAGACAGTAAAACCCCAGTGACCCGCTCCACTGGGCACCCCTTCAGGAGCCCCAAGCCCAGCATCTGCTGACCACTGCCTGCCTGCCCGCGCTCCTCGCGGTCACCAGGCTGACCCCCCATTTTACAGAGGAAGCAGCTGGGGCTGGGGGTGCAGCCTGAGCCCAGGGTGGTCGGGCTGGAGAAGCTCTCGGAGGTCACCTGACTGGGACCGGCCTAGCGCGACCCCAGGCCAAGCTCAGGCGCAAGCCCCTCCCCCCCCCGGGCCAGGGGCCGCCCCCCCCCCCCCCCCCGACCTGGGGCCGGGTGACCCGCTGGGGTGACCCGCTGGGGCGCCCGGCAGCCGCGAGGCCTCGGCCCAGGCCGGCCGCGGGCAGCAGGAGGGTCGGGGAACAAAGGCGCGGGGAGGGGGCAGCGCGGGGCGCGGCCGGGCAGGTGGGGGGCAGGGCAGGTGGGGGGGCAGGTGGGGGCGGCTTCCGCCCGGCGGGGCCCGGCCCCCTCCCCCAGCCTCACCTTTTATGGGCAGGCGGCGGCGGGGGGCGGGCGCGGGCGCGGGCGGCGCCGCGGGGCTCGCGGGCTCGGGCGTCGGAGCAGCCGCCGGGGCGCGCGACCAGGTACGCGGGCGGCGGGGTCGGGCCCCGGCGCGGGGTGACGGCGCGGGCGCCCCGCTGGGCCCCCGCCCCCCCCCCGGCCGGGCGCTCCGGAGGGGCCCGCGGGGCGCGGGGACGGGACGGGGACGGGGCGCCGCCCCTCGGCTCGCCCCTCGGGCTCCGGCCCCGGAATGGGGCGGGACGGGTCTGGGCGTCCGGTTCGGGTCCCGGCCCGGGAGCGGGCGCCGGGGCGCGGGGTGGGCAGGGCTCCCGCACAAAGAGGACGGAGCCCCGCACATGGATTGAATTAAGGGGCCCGGCGGCGCCCCACAGTCACCGGGCAGCCTGCGGGGGGCGCGGGGCTTCTGGAGCGGGGCCGCTCCCCGCCCGGGTCAGGGAGGGGACGGAGGCCCAGGGCCTTCCACCCCGCGGGGGCCCGGGAAGGGATAGAACTGGGGGTCCCCAAGGCGGGCCCTGGGACTCCTGAGGACGCCAGGCTGGGCAGCGCCCAGATTCCTGCTCGCCACGAGGATGGACCCTCAACCTTGGTCCTCCCAGCCCCTCAGCAGCTGGGCCCTGGACCTGCAGGACCCGGGTCTCGGGAGCCCCTTGCGGGCCCAGCCGGCCTCCAGGGTTGACATTATTCCCACTTTGTGGAAAAACTGAAGCCCAGACGGGTTCGGGGACCTGCTGAGGGTCACCGGGCAGGAGAGAGGTGGGGCCAGCCGGTGACAGGGCTGCGGTGCCTCCTGCACTTCCCTCGGGTGGGAGAGGGAGAGGGGACCCCCAAGACTGCTAGGTGGAGCGAGGTGTCCTCCTGCTGCACCTCAGCGAGGTTTAATTTCGAGCCTTAGTAGAGACTGCAGGGCTGGCGGGCGAGGACGAGCTCAGAGGCAGTTCCAAGCTGCTGCTGGTTTTGGAGCGGGCCAGACAGAATCGGAAGGGGGACAGCGGGTGGGACAGGCCGAGCCCCAGAGGCCCCCCTCCCCGCGGCCGTCCCCTGCCCAGACTGCTGCCCCAAACCGTGCTGGGTGGGAGGCTGGAGCTCGGCCTCCTTCCTTCCTCTTGACAGGAAATGACTTCCCTTCCCTTTGTTCCCACTTTCTCTGCTTACCCAACTGGATCTCAGATCGCCCCGGGGAGGAAGGATGGGGGGCAGGTCCCCGGCGCAGTCGGCCAGGAGGCTGCTCCTAGGAACTTTCTCACACATTCCCCGCTCCGGGGTGACCTGGAGTCCGCGGGGCCAGAGGGGGGCCAGGCCTCCCTTTCCCGCCCGGGCCTGACATCCCAGCAGGAGCCGCTGGGAGGGGTGGCCAGGGGGACGGGAGCCTGCCCAGCTGCTAACATCTGGCCTCTGCACGGCAGCATTGGCCTTAGACGGTCACTGAGAAACTAGTGGAGCTAACTTCCCCGAGGTCAGTCGGGGTCAGGCGGGTGGGGTGGGGGTGGGAGCAGGGGGTGGGGGTGGGGGGTAGGTGACAGGGCAGCCTCCCAGCTGTCTCTGGGTTGACCACAGGATAATAGGTCCAGATTAGAACATTCTGGGAGAATGTTCTAATCCACAGGCCTTTGGATTTGGACCCCCCAGGGCCATGCAGGAAAGAAAAAGTGTGGTCTCAGGCCCAAGGACACTCCAGGATGGCCAGGTCAGAGGGTGTGCTGTTAGGATCCTGCAGTCTGCCCCGCATGGCCTGGAAAAATCGCTCCACACTCTTTTGGGGCACCCCGTGGCCAAGTAGGGACCTACTAGGCTGTGCTGAGAGTTAGGTGAGTTTTGAGAAGGGAAAGCATAGCTTTCATCAGCAAGTGCCAGGGATGGTTGTATCGTCCTTTCTTATATTTCACGCTCAGAAGGACTCTGAAAACCATTTACAAAAATAGATTCTTAAACTTGTAACAAACAACGTATGAAATCTAAGAGCATGACGGCCAGTAGAAGCTCCTGTATTTCCCACTGACACTTACCAATCCAGAGACTAGAAGAAGTATCTGAACTTAGCAAGGGGCGGTCATAGATTGGTTGCTCACTTACAAGAGCTATTTAATCGGACTGAGCTGAGTCTGATAAGCCACTCATTAACCCTGTTAGAGGAATTTACAAGCGTATGTTGTCCTGTTTTTATTCTCCACCAGTCACCAAGAGAACCCACCCTGTGGGGGTACTTCGAGATCCGGAGCGAGGGCTGGGAGCGCCAAGCTCCAAGTCCACCATGAGTGTCCCTTGGGGCTCCTCTCTCCCCACCCCCAGCCCCACTTCTTGCTGTGCATTCACTAGGTCCTTACTTGCTGCAGACCTGTGGGCTGGGCTTTGGAGTCATGTCAGGCTGGCCCAGCTGAGGCCTAAAATTTAAAAAGGGCATGTTTTCACCTCTGCACAAGCCCTGGGTGACCTGGAAGACTACAGAGCTGAGTGTGGGCTACGTGCCCTGGGGCTGCTGTCTGCAGGAACCCAGAACGGGCTGCCCTGATGTCAGGGTGCCACCCTGTCCCAGCCCATGCTCTGACGCTGACACTGGGACCTAGACTTGGCTCACAGATGGCAGATTCAGCTGAAGGCACATGAGGTCGCCGGGGGTGGAGGTGGGGGCTTACGTGGTGGTAATGAGCCAGCGTGTCTGGCGATGGGCTCTCATCGCCCTGTGGAAGCAGACATTTGCTCCCTGGAGCGGGTCAGGAATCAGGGGAGACTTCCTGGAGGAGGTAATGATAGAGCTAGAGAGGAAAAATAGGTGGTGGAATCATTCCAAGACAGAAAGACAGTCAAAACGGGTGAGGTCAGGGACATTTATTTGAACTTTATCTTGTAGTAGGAAGCCATGGAAGGGTCTTGAGTAGAAGAGAAACATATAAATGCTCTAGAAAGATCACTCCGGGGATGCAGCAGGAAGGAGGTAGGGTTGGAGGTCACTGGGGCTCCCGCCCCCACCCCACCTCTGTGCTTGAGCCAGGGTTGTGGCTTTGGAGATTAGGGCAGAGATGCAGGCAACAGAGTCAAGACTTGATTGGATGTGGAGGCTGCTGGGGAGAAATGGATCCTGGCTGCGCCTTGGCTGGTGCAGGGGAGCTGAGCGTGGGTTCCGGGTTCACATCTCAGCTCTGCTCGCTGCTGGATGACCCTGAACACATGACTTGACTACACTGAGCCAGTTTCCTCGTCTGTGGGATGGGATGATGATGCCAGTGCCCACCGTCGGCAGCGATGGGAGGATTTCTGAGTTGAGGGCAGCAGGCGCTTCGGCCAGTGCGGGCGCAGAGTCATGCTGAATCGCTCTGGGGGGACGGTCGTCCTGATGGTGCTTCCGTCCCCTCTGCCTCCGGAGCCCCAGCTGAGGCTCTGACAGGTCTTGCTGTTTCCCTCCCACAGCTGAGCTGGCCTGACCTCGGGAACTGCCGCTCTCCCAGGAGAATCCGGATCCGGGTCAGGGAGGTAACTCGGGGTGTGGCCAGGTGGGTGGGCCAGGTGGCCCTGTAGTCAGCTGTCCTGGGGGCAGGGAGCTAGAGAAACTGCTCCTTCTGGGAGCAGAGAATTAATCATTTGTGAGTCGAGCAGGCCCATGCTGCCCTTTGCTCCCCCAGGTGTGCAGGTTGGGGAGGGGCAAGGTGGGACTGCTCAGTCGAGTCACCTGGCGCCCCTGAAGGTGGGTCTGCGTGCCCAGATGGAGTGTGTCCTGGTGCCCTGAGCCCCCCTCTGCCCGCAGCCCCCACCAGAAGGCAAGGCAATGGCGGCGAAGCCGGAGAAGAGGGTCGCCTCGTCTGTCTTTATCACCCTGGCTGCCCCACGTCGAGATGAGGCAGTGGCCGAAGTGAGACGGGCAGCTAGCGAGACCCGGCCTGGCCGCCCCTGGGAGTCTCCTGCCCCAGGGAAAGCCCCCGGAGCCGGGGCAGGCTCAGGAGGCAGGCCCGGGCCCTGGAAGTCCCCTGCTGAGCCAGCCGCACCATCCCACCTCTCCAATGGAGGTAAGAAGGTGGGTCTGGGTGGGAGAGCCCAGAGAAGCAGCCCCAGGTTCTCAGCCCAGGTGGGGAGGAAAGGACAGCTGGGCCTGGCTTTGATCCAGGCTCCTCCTCCTCGTGTCTTTGCGATATTGGCGGTGCTTCTCAGTTTCCTGATCTGTAAAATAGGAATGATAAAGGATCTTGTCTCAAAGGTTGTTGTGACGATTAGTGTTGCTGCAAATACAAAACGTTCCTTCCTTGTCTGTCCCTTCAAAAGCGTGAAATGTGCCACCTGCTGTTATTCCCGGCCAGACGCAGGGAAACAAAACCAAGATTTTCAGCCTGTATGAAATTTACATCCTAGTGGGGGAAAGAGATAATAAAGGTGTGATAGATAACATAATACGCAGTGTTAGAGAGGAATAAACTTGGCGAGAGGTGGAGGGACAACTCTCGAGGGGGGCGTCTCCCAGGAGGTGCATTTCAGTGCAGCTCAGACCTGAGTGGAGGATAGAACTGGTGGGGCTGGGGAGATGGATCCTGAAGAGCAGTAGAAGCAGCAGTGCAAAGGCCCTGAGGCAGGAATGAGTCTCAAAGTTGAGGGACCTGGAAGGTGGCTTTATTCTCCCTCGGGCCCTGATGGTCACGCGCTGTGTGATCTCAGGCAAACACTTTCCTCCCTCTGGGCCTCGGTTTCCTCTGTTCCTTTACCTTGTGCTTAGGCTGAGCTGACCCCGTTGCCATGGTGACAGAGAGCCTTCCACCCTCTCTCCCCGCAGCTCCATGCAGTCTCAATTGCTGGGTTGGGTGGAGTGAGGAAGCGTGACAGCCCGGTGGCCTGGGGCAGGGGGTGGCTCCTCACCAAACAGGGCACCAGCTGGAACAATGGGGGGCACTGAGACGCTGGGGTGAGTGGACGGCCCAGGATGGAAGCTGAGACTCCCCAGGGTCCCGGGTGCCTATCAGGTGTCCTGCCATCCCAGAGCCAGGTTTTGGTCAGCCGCCATCCCTGCCCATCCATCACCACGGAAACCACTGAAGACCAATAGGAAATGCCAGTTGCAGGAGACCAGAGGGGCCCTCTGTGCAGTTGGGGGAGCATGTGGCCATTCGTGTAATCTAAGACACAAGCCGCTTAACTGACCTCTCCTTCCTAAGAACACAGCCCGTGTAGGCACCCGGGACCCCAGGGCCGAAACCCACACGTCACACGTCTTCCAGGGCCTGGGAGACACCGCGTACCCCTGGCTGGAATGGGAGCCCAGAAAACGTTGCTTAGGTGCCAACATACCAGTATCTCCAGGACATTTTTATAGGTTGTTGGAATCGTAGGCGGAAGATTCTGGAAGTGTGGAAACAAAACCAGACATTCCCGGGGAGGGGGCAGCCTCGCAATGGCGGGTCAGCCATTTTGTTGACCAACTTTGGTGAACTCAAGCCGAGGGCTGAACTTTGATGCCCAGCCTGGCTGAGTTCTAGGGGGGCTGCTGGGCTGGGGGGCTGGACTGACCACGGGATGCACAATCCCTGGGGCCTCCCAGCTGCTCCAGCCATCCAGGGCAGACTGTCCCCAGGTGCCTCACCTAGCACTTGGCCCGCAGGAGTCCGCGGCATTTCTCTAGCCCTTTCTCCTGGCAGTGCCCACCTTCCCCTCACCCACCCCAGCCCCGATGGAGCTCAGGTGCATTTAGAGTCACACCATTTCTCTCACAAGTCCAATTTTTCTCTTGGCTTCTCTTTAAAAAACTGCTCTTCCCCATCCCGCACTCGGCTGCCAGACCCACATCACCCGGGTTCAGCTCAGCCTCTTCCTCTCTGCACAGCTGCCCTGCAGCCCCAGGCCCCTCTGTCCTGGTGGGGACCTGCCACCTTCCCAGCCTGTTACCTAGAACCCAAGACTGGTCCCAGGAGAGGCCTCAGGGCTGCCGCTCCTGACTCCTGACTCACGTCAGCCTGCGCAGCCCGGTTCTCACCCTTAGCTGCATCAGCACGCCCTGGGGGCTAGTTCATACCCCGCTGGGCCCCACCTAGTACGTGTGACTCAGCAGGGTGGAGGTGGGGCCGGAGAATATGCATTTTATGCTTTCCCAGGTAACACTGCCGCTCTAGCCTCCCTACCCCCATTCTTCTATTGTTAAATAGGCAGGACTTGTGGAGGACAGCGGGAGTGCTCCAAGTGTGACCTTTGGACCAGCAGCACCGCCCCCACCCCAGCTTTGCAAAGCCCACCCCAGCCTGCTAAATCAGAAGCTCTGGGGCTAGGGCCCAGCCCTCTAGCCATCTGCCTTTGAGCAAGGCCACCAGCTTATCCGGTGGCATGCTGGCAGGGCTCCAGCAACCTTCTCTGTGCTGTCCCTTCAGCCCTCAGGAAACAGGAGTGTTCATTATCTTTCTCGAATGACTGAGAAACCCCAAGAGAGGTGCCCCAGAGAATTAGCAGGGACTGCTGAATTTATTGAGACTCAGATTAAGTCTCTTGCCTGGGGACACACAGCAAGTCAGCAGGAGGTAGAAATGGATTCTGATCTGGTGACCCCGAACCTGAGCCCTTAACCACCTTGCAGGCCAGCGGGGTCCTCTGAGCCCCTGCAGAGACCCAGCCAACCCTCTCCGCTCTGGTTGCAGGATGTTCTCCCACGCTGGATGGCCAGGAGGTGCTCCCAGACCTGGACCTCCTCCCTCCTCCACCCCCACCCCCTCCGGCATACCTGCCTCCTCCTGATGAGGAGCCCCCGGCCCCGATGGGGGCGTCCCTTATTTCGGACTTCCAGCAGCTGCACCTGCTCCCGCCCCCGCCCCCACCGCAGGTACTGCCAACCCTGTGGTCCCTGGTGGAAGCAGTGGGTGGGGGAGGGAGAGCCTGGTCTTCTGCGCTTTCAGGGACTTCAACTCGGAGGGAGGGTGTCCACTCTCCTGCTGGAGGGCAGTCCCTCTTCAGAGCTCGTTTAGGCTGGTAAAAATTAGGGGTTTCTCAAGGTCCCCAGAGAAGGGATGTCACACCTTTCTGCCCCGGTGCCCTCTCAGCTCTGAGATGACACTTCCTGTGTCTAAATTCCTTATGTTGGTCACTTTGAATCCTCCACCCCTCACAGAGGCCAGGAGAAACCCTGATTCTAGGAGGGTCCTTAGAAGTGGTAGAAGCAGCTTTGGCTGGTTCAGAGCACCCAGGGCAGGGAGCTGGGCTCAGCTGCCTCTCTCACCTCCCTGCTGGCTGATTTTTGACAGTGTCTTGCTTGTCTGGGCTCAGTTCCTTCCTGCTATCATGGGGTTAGTTGTGCCGGGTACTGAGGGGCTGTGTGGGGTCCCTGCTGGGTGACTCCTGTCCTCTCCCTCCATGTCTCCGCAGTCCCTGGTGGAGGGGCCGCCACTCCAGCCTCGGCCCAGTCACCTCAGGCCTGCAGAGGAGGAGCTGCCGCCTCCCCCAGAAGAGACTGCTAGCTTCCCCGAGAGAGAGGCATCAACAGGTATGGATGTGGGGCTGGAGGAGTCTGGGGTGCTCCCCGGGGGAGCCCACAAGTGACTGTCAGGGGCTTCCAGGAAGAGCAGGGACCATCAGTGTCTGCCCCAACTCCCAGTTCAGTGATGGGCCTTATGGTTGTATGTCAGTTTTATTTGTGTTCATTTATCCTTTATAACTAAAATCCATTTAAATTAAATTGATTGGCAAAATTTGCTGTGATGGCAAAAACACCTTGAACGTATTTTTACTATTTAATTTTTTAAATACTTGACATCTTCACAAGGTACCAACGGAAATGGATAGAAGGATATGCAGTAAATGTCTCCCTTCTGCCCCATCCCTGTATGGTCCAGACAGATAGTTGGTAGTTAAGTGCTTGCATATCTTCTAAAGATGTTTTATGCATATGGGAGCAAATACAAATGTGTCCCATCACCCAGTTTTCCCACGAATAGTAACAGGCTCTGTGATGTTCTGCACTTGCCTCCTTTCTTCCACACACCTCACAGCTCATCACACATCAGAGCATGAAGTAGCTCCTTATTTTTCACAGCTGCATAGTACTCCATAGGGGTGGCTGTGTGCATTTGACCTGTGGCCTATGGACAGTACTTAGGTGACTTTTACGATGACAAATACAGTTCACCCTTAGACAACACAGGTGTGAACTTCTCTGGTCCAATTGTATGCAGTGTTTTTTTTAATCCATGGGTTCCAGGTTCGTGGATTCAACTGACCTCAGATGTCAGCTGGCTGAATTCATGGATATGAACCCACTTGAGAGAGACGACTCTAAATTATATACAGATGTTAATATTGGAGAGGGGTGAAACCAATCCCCTGTGGACACTAAGGGACGACTGTAGTTAGGTTGGGGGTGGGGAGGGAGTCAAAAGTTAGACTCATATTTTTGTCCTTGGGTTTGGTGCCCCTGACAGTCACGTTCAGCTGGAAAGCTCTCACCTTGCCCCGATGTCATTTTGCTAGTGTGCAAGGTGTCTGTGATTAAGACCTAGGAGAGGATCTTTAAAAAAAAAGGGGGGGCCTCCCTGGTAATACAGGAGGTTAAGCACCGCACTGTAAAGCAATTCTCAGCCTCTGCAGCACGAGTTCGATTCTCAGCCGGCCAGGGAGAAACCCACATGGCGCAGCAGACCTCTCCTGTCTCGCCCGCTGCTCCCCTCAGCAGTGTATTTCAGTCAACCTGCCTGTTCTGCTCCCCACTCTGTCTCTGGTGAATCCTCTCACTCCCCACACCTCTGCTCTGTACCCCAGCCCTTGTATGCATAAATAAATAAGTCTTAAAAAAAAAAAAAGACCTAGGAGAGGGATTACTGAGGCTTGAGGGTAGGTGCATTTGCAACTTGGGTATTTTTGCCAAATTGCCTTCATGGTGGTCCCCATGGACACCCCACAATAGTAATATTTGTGTAATAAAGAGCTGTTTGTTTAATAACTAATTTACAATAATAGTTACAACAAATATGTGCTTATGATGCACCTAAAACCTCCCCTACTCCAAGGCTATGTAATCATCCTCAGTGTTCTTTTGTTTCATTTTTCACATTTAGACCTTTGCCACATTTTGGAATCATCTGGTGCGGAGGCTTCTTTCATTGTTTTGCAGATGGCGACCCAGTTGTCTGACTCTGCGTCCCTTGATTTTAGCTTTTTGGGGGCTGTTCACAGTTCATATTCCTTTTCAATGCCCCCCTATCGTCCTCCCCGCTGTGAGATGAGGCCACACTCCCAACCGGCGGGTGCAGGGCAGAGACCTGGCTCTCCGGGCACATCCTGGGTGGTTGCTGGGCACAGTACCCCCAGGCTGGGTGCTTACAGCCTGTCTTCACCCCAGACATCTGTGCCTTCTGCCACAAGACCGTGTCGCCCCGAGAGCTGGCCGTGGAGGCCATGAAGAGGCAGTACCACGCCCAGTGCTTCACGTGCCGCTCCTGCCGCCGCCAGCTGGCGGGCCAGAGCTTCTATCAGAAGGACGGGCGGCCCCTCTGCACGCCCTGCTACCAGGTGATCCCCCTACGCAGGTCTCTGGGTGCTGGGCCCCGGGAAGATGTCATAGGATGTCATTCCCCCTGAAAGTCCTGGGAGGCAGGCACGATGCGCCCATTTCACAGACATGGAAGCTGAGGAAGCTCAGGAAGGGACGGAGCCGCGCTTTGCAAGCTGGGTTAGTCTCCTGTGTCTGCTGGGACAAATACTACAAACTGGGGGCTTCCAGCCACACACATTAATTCTCTTAGCGCTCTAGAGGTCAGAACTGGACATCGGTTTCCCTGAGTCAAAATGCAGCACTGTTTCCGGCTGCAGTTCTCGCAGGACCCTCCTCCTTGCCTCTTCCAGCTCTGAAGCCTCCTCACGCTCCTGGGTTCCTTGTCCGTCTGCGGTCTGTTGCTTGGCATCTTGCTTCAGTGTCTCATCTCTCCATCAATTCTTCCTTTCCTCCCTCTGATAAGGGCACTGGTGGGGGCATGTAGGGCCACACGAATAATCCAGAGCTTCCTCCCATCCCCACATCCTTAACTCCATCCCCTCTGCAAAGTCCCTTGCTGTTTGTTGAAGGCAGCACAGGGCTCAGGGTTAGGACCTAGCTCTCCTGGAGACATCACGCAGTTTCATGCTCCACCTGCCCCGCACCCGCTGGCTTTGGAGCCTGCCCATGAGCCTTGCATCCTTGGCAGGAAGTTAGAGCCACGATCTGCTGAGGGTCTGGGTCACCTCTGGGTCCCAGATGCCACCAGGGAGAGCTAGTCTGGATGCCAAGGTGCTAGAAGTACTAACTCCCAGTGGGGTGTTAGTGTGGTGTATGGTATACAGACCACTGACCCGTCACTGGCTGGGCGTGGCTTGGGGTGTGGGCCGCCCCCGTCCTCATGAATTGGTTGCACCTGGCAGTCTGCATTTAACAGGTCTTCAGCAAGTTCAGTAGATACTGAACTTTGAAATTTGGAGCTGCAACTGTCTAGACAAATCAGAATGCACATTTCCACAGCCAGCAGGGCACTGTGGGAGGAGAAAGGAGCCATTCCCTCCCCACCCGGCCAAGGGGCCTCTAGGGGATGTCCCTACCCTCTCTTCTCAGCTGGGAAGGGTGGGGGGGGTTGGAGAGCAACCACAGCCAGGAGGAAGCCTTGGGCAGTGGGCTGGAGATAAGGGCTGCCCCACCCAGACATCTGTTCAGAAGGAGTCAGGTTAAAATGAACAGGAGCACAGCCCGGAGCGGGGAGAGATGTGTCTAGGAGAAAACGTGGAAGAGTTAGAAGCCCTCTGCTCTACCTCGGAAATCTCTCTCGCTCTCTTTTTTTCTCTCTCTCTCTCTCTCTCATTTTTCTCTCTCAGTCTTTCTGCTACTCCTTCTCCTTCCTCTCCTCCCTCTTCATTCCAGAAGGAATTTGAAGCAGCTTATAAGAAGGCATTTGCACCAAAAGCCAACAATAGTCCACTTAACATTTTGTGATGAGGGGAATGTTAAATGTTCTTCCCACAATAAAGTAAGACTTTAAAGAATGCAAGGAACACAGCGATGTAAAATGAATAAAGATCAGAACAGAGGAAAATCAAAGTGGGAAGTGAAATGAGACCAGAGGGCGTTAGTTGTCAAAGACAGACCCGGGAAAGATCCCAGCTGTGGTTCCTGAAAGTGGAGCATGGAACTTGGCTCGACCTTCCAAGTGGCCAAGTAGGAAAGGGAGTGTTTCGAGGCATATTGTCCATAAGATGAGCAGCACCCTACATGCTGCAGGAATTCCTTGTTCCTGAGTCTGAGGTTTAAGAGAAATGTCTCGTGTGAACCCTTGTAGACTTGGGCCTCAAACATATCCTAGTAACAAAAACGCATTAATGACCTCATGCAAGAGTCCACGCTATCCCCAGGATACAATAATACGCTCGATCTATTTTAAGCAAGGAGGGGAGGGTGGGTAGAGGGGTGTTACAGGCCAAATGCATGAATGGGAGCCCCCCTCTGTATCCCCACTGGGCACCCATGGGTGGCTGGTCACCTACCCCTGGCGGCTTGGAGCCAGCACTCCCACGGCGTAACTCTGAGGCAATGGCCTTGTGTCGCAGGACACCCTGGAGAAGTGTGGCAAATGTGGCGAGGTGGTCCAGGAGCACATCATCCGGGCCCTGGACCAGGCCTTCCACCCACCCTGCTTCACGTGTGTCGCCTGCGCCCGGTGTATCGGGGATGAGAGCTTTGCCCTGGACGGCCAGAACCAGGTGTACTGCCTGGACGACTTCTACAGGTACCTGAGGGCTGTGCGCTGGGGGCGCGTGGGGAGGATGGGCTGGTCCCCAGGCAGAAGAGGAGCCGCGTCAGGGCGCTGGGCTCCAGCCTTCCTTCAGGCTCTGCGCCTGCAGGGGCGAGTCTTCCTTGCCTGCATGCCCGGTCCGCCAGGGGCTGCCCTGGGGTAGGCCATTGCGTCCTCAAAATGGCAGGGCCTCTGAAGGGTGCTGTTTTCCCCTATGTGGGAACCAACACACAGGGCTCCGAGTCTCCTGGCTGGTGAGTGTGGAAGATTCTATCCAAACCCCATCAAACTGACTTTTGTCTTTGAGAGCCCCAGTCCCTCACAGCCAGAGCACCTGAGGCAGCAGTGCCAGGGAAACCCCTGAAGTTCAGTCCTCTCCCTGGACTCGCTCACTGCCCAGGTGGAGAGACCGATGTGCCCACCGGAAAGGAGAGGGAGGCAGAGGAAGCAGTGGGGACGGCACAGGACGAGGCCCCCGCGCCGCAGAGCACACACAGGATTTCTCTGCTTTTGCAAATTCTAACATCCCCAGTCACTTCCTTGCCTCCTGCTAATTATACCCTGGGAAGCTGGGTCTAATTACCCCGGCCTCTCCGCCTCCCCCGGCCAGGAAGAAATAGACTTTGTGGTTGTAGCTCCAGGTGCAGCCCAGGGCCAGGGGCTGAAATAGCTCCGGGAGGTGACGGAGGGCAGCCGGAGCTGACCGCTCTGGTTCGAGCACCCCCAAGCGTGAGTTCCTGTCCTCTAGGAAATTTGCCCCTGTGTGCAGCATCTGTGAGAGCCCCATCATCCCCCGAGACGGGAAGGACGCCTTCAAAATCGAGTGCATGGGAAGAAACTTCCATGAAAACTGCTACAGGTGTGAGGTGAGTGGAGCAGCGAGGGTTTAATGGCGTTCAGGTGCCAGCGAGCCCTGGGGAGAGCCTGCCAGGGGCCAGGCCTGGGTGGGGTCTGGGATGGGGCCAGGTGGAGGGGCTCAGCTCTCAGGCTGCCCCCGTCCAGCAGCGGGGACACGTAAGAATGCAATCATTAGAAATGTAGTTTATTAGCCCGAGCCCCGGACCAGTGCTGGCACCCACAGCAGCACCTGCCCAGGGAAGGGAGTCTCGCGGGAAGGCCGATGGGGCTCCCTCCCCATCTCCCAGTTCTGCCCTTTTATGTGCGTCTGCTTCCCTTTCCCTGCCCGAGGGCTGGCATCCTCTGAGGAGAGGGTCCACCGCATGCCCGCCAGCCCCCCAGGTTTATAGCCTCCGGGCTTGGAAACCCCATCCAGGCATCCCACGGAAGCCCCCAAGTCTCTGATGGCCCATTCTGGACCAATCTCTGGCCAGCAACTATGATTGACAGCCCCTGGACCTGGAGCAGAGCTCTGAGACTGAAGGGGTTGCTGCAGGGTAGAGGGAAGAAGCGGGTGCTGAGCAGACCCCTATGGGCCTCTGGGGCCCAGGAATCAGCTTTGGGTAAAGAAGGCCGTGATCAAGGGACCCCCTACTTTTACGGGCACGCCCACCCCTGTGCAACTGATGTTTATCTTCCTGGCACTGGCAACCGAGGTAGCAACGTTTATGTGTGTCACCTAAAAGTGAGGAATCTAGGAAAAATCTCTGCATCAGCCAATTAGTAATTCTAAACATTGACTCAGTCACATGGAACCAAGAGGCCCCTTTCGCTGAGGGGGATGATCGTAAAGTCATCAAGTTGCTTCATGTAGTCCTTGGTGGCTGTGGGTCAAGGTCCAGCTGATAAGGCATCTTGAAAGAACAGTAATGAAGTTCAAGTGCTCGAAGGTCTCCCCGGGCCTAGGGGTCCCGTGGCAATCAGCCTGGCTAGTGAGCACATCAGCACCCCAGGCTGGTCCTTGGTTGACTTGCTGGGTGCCCAGCAGGCTGCACTTTAGCGGCCGCATTTCAAAGGATCGGGCTCTGGACTGCAGCAGCGTGGAACAGGTTGGGGTGCTGCTTCTCTAGGAAGGGAGACAGGTTTCCGGGGTGTAGCCAGTGTTCCTGTCTCATCATTTCTGCTTGATTTGTGGTCCATGTTAGTTATCACTGTTGCTGGAAGGGTAACAATACTTTTATAGGTAGTGTTTTTTAATTTGTAAAATGCTTTTGTGTACAGATGATTCTTGATAATGTAGGGTTGGGAGCTCCAACCCCACAGAAATCCATGCATAACTTTTTATTCCCCCCGAAACTTAAGTACTCACAGCCTGCTCCTGGACTGGAAGCCTAATGACAAATAACAGACTCTGTGTGTGTGTTATATATGCTGTATTCTTAGAATAAAGCAAGCTAGAGGGGCCTCCCTGGTGGCCTAAGGGTTAAGTCTCAGCACTATCACTGCTAAGGCCTGAGTTCAATCCCTGGCCAGTGGGCTACCCACATGGCGCAGCAGACCTCTCCTGTCGGGTCTGCTGCTCCCCTCAGCAGTGTATTTCAGTAGATCTGCCTGTTCTGCTGTCCACTCTGTCTCTGGTGAGTCCTCTCACCTTCTGCACCTCTGGCCTACACCCTAGATCTTTTATGCACCCCACCCCCCCAAAAAAAAAGCAAGCTAGAGAGACAAATATTAAGTAAATCAGAAGGAAGAGAAAATGTTTGTGGACTGGATGGTGTTTATCAACCATAAGTTTGTGTGGTCTGTTTATTGGAAAATTTGCACATAAGCACCCCACTCAGTTCAAACCTTTGTTTGTCAAGAATCAGCCGTACACCCCTTTATTTAATCCTAATGAAGATTTTGCAAGATGGGACTTGTTGCCTCCATTTGTGATGAAGAAACTGAGGCCGAAAAATGTCCCACCCTTCTAAGGCCAGCTCTAGCTAACTTCCTGCCCTGTCCTCAGCTCCTTTGCCAACTGTGTGACTGGGTAGTAGTTGAGGTGTTTCCTCACTTGGTTCTAATTTAGGAGAGGCCACACGTGCCCCTTTGGAACTTTAGATCTGGCACTTGCTGGTTAAGAATAGCCCAGACCCGCCACTGAATACCACAGAGCCTGGCTGACACCTGCGGTGCAGTTGCAGGGAAGGGACACACGAGGGCGCCCTCACGGCTGGCCTGGCTGGGTCAGGCTGGCACCAGGACCCCAGAGTTATCTCTCCGGGGACCAGCCCCTCTGCTCTGATCAGTGCAGCTGCCAGAGGATGCCAGCCGTGCTCTGAGCTGTCTCTGGAGTTAGTTGTTACCGGCAGCATGTCCACAGCTCAGGCCTACAGCAGTTTGGGCCCTGAATCCCCATCTTTCTCATGACGTCCTTTGGTGATTTGAAAAACTAGAAAGATTATCAATAGCTCGTGCCAGAGTTTAAGTTGTGAGAGCAGCGGAGCAAGGAAAAGACGGTGGAGACCTGGTCCTGTCCCAGCTCTGGAACCAGCTGCGTGAGCTGGGGCCAGCCCTGCCCCTCTCCAACCTGGGTTTCCATCTGTTTGACAGGAAGGGGCTGGACGAGATTGGGTAATTCACTCAGCAGTACCATCTCGTGCCTGCTGTGTGCAGGGCTCTGGTCTAAGCTGGCCTGGCGTGGGAGGAGGGGGTTCCTGCCTCAAGGAGCTCCCCTCCCCCTGCCTCCCTCAGCCCCCCCTTCCTGTTTTTTGGATGGATGCCCAAGTGGGATTGCCAGGTCACATGGTGCTTGCATTTTCAGTTTTCTAAGGTGGTCCAGATTGCTTCCAAAATGGCGGCACCAGTTCACATTCCCACCAGCAGGGTATTAGGGCTCCCCCTGCTCCGCATCTTCCCCGGCTCTTGTGGATTTTTCCAGTACATGCCATTCTCGGGGGTGTAAGATGATACTCGCTGTGGTTGTGACCTGCATCTCCCTGAGGAGCTTCTTTCCAAAGGGACTGGGGTGGTGGTTTAGGTGCTTTTAGCCTTTCCCACAACCCCTTGGGGGCTCCTCTCACCAGGGGCGCCCAGTCCCCCCACCGGCTGACTCTGCTCACTCACACCGTGGACCTTGTCCTGACTTCCCTGATGGAGCCTCCCAGGGGTGCTGGGAGGATGGGGTGGAGGAGCCTCGTCCTTGGGGAGCACATTCCTTCCCTACGTTCCATCAGCCGGCGCTGGGTGAGCCCCCACCGGGCGGGTGGCTGGGCGCAGGCCTGGTGGCCCTCACCGCCTTGTCCCCGCAGGACTGCAGCGTCCTCTTGTCCATCGAGCCCACAGACCAGGGCTGCTACCCGCTGAACAACCGGCTCTTCTGCAAGCCTTGCCACGTGAAGCGGAGCGCCGCAGGGTGCTGCTGAGTGCACCCCAGGTCTGGGGGCCGTGAGCCCCCTGCAAGCCTCAACAGGACCCTTCCCTGACTTGGTTTCCCTTCCTGACCTGCTCCTGCCACCTGCCCTCCGAGCTTCCTGGGAACCAGCCTGCAGCTGCGCCACCGCAGTGTCACCTCCTCCCCGCTGCAGGTGCTTGGCGGAAGACAGAACCCTCAGACTTCTATCCTCTGGGCTCTAGAAGATTCTGTATCCTGAATATCACGTGCGGAATTCCCACCTCTGAGCTCTGGCGTCTCTTGAGCACTTAATGCCCGCTTCTAGTGTTGAGCTGGGGTGAGCCTCCAGGGGTCCTGGGCCCCTAGCAGTGACTTTAGGTGGCCTGGCGGGGTTGTTGCTGAGACCATCCTGTCTTACAAGACTGAGCTGTTGGAGGAAAAGATAACTCCAAGGGCCCTTAAAAAATGCTTTTTTTTAAACATGGAGGTTCAAATGATGGAGCATATTCATTGGACATTTTGAAGAGGGGGCCTTAATAGGAAACGTCTCCTGTTTCCTATACGAGGGAGACCCAGTGGTGGCCTGGCCTCGGGACATGTCTGCTGACGTGGGGCCAACCCAGGCGTGAGCCCGAATAGCAGGTGCAGAAGGAGGGTGAGGGGCTGACCACCCTGCGTCCAGGTGCTCTGCACTGTGCTTGATGCCTGTGTACGCTGGGGGGCAGGTGCTGGAGATCTCGGGGTACTGCCTGCAGCCTTGACCACACACTCCTCCTAGCAGTGCTGTTGGGGGGGGTCCCCTCAGCCCCCGGCTCATCCCCAAGTCCCACTCAGGCCATCCAGCCCAGGCCTGTGACCACCGCCTCCTCAGTGGGTCTGTCCCTGTTTCTTTCCTTTTAAGGAAAACCACTTTTGTGGCTTGGTAACTTCCAAGACATCGTGTGGGGCCTGAACAAGTCAAACAGTGCTTTCCTCCCTGGGGTCGTCTTGCTGTGCCACAGGCTGCCGTGAGGGGGTCTGGGATGCCAGCACTGGGACGATTCCCTGCCAGGCCCCTTAGGACCTCGACCAGGGCACAGCTTCCAGCCAGAGCCTGAGCAGCGGCCCCCACACCCCAGGTGCTCACTGAGCACCCCACCACTCGTGTTAGAACCAAGCATCGCCTGTTCTCGCAGCTCCTCGATGTTTCACGCCAACACACTTTGTTTTCCTCTCTTCCCACTGTGGCCTTCGCCGAGGGCGCCCCGCGCCGCCTGCCCCCACGCGCAGCTGTGCTTTTCCTGCAAAAATAAACGCGTGACTATTGGAAGTCCGTCTGTGTCCCGTCTCAGTCTCACCTAGGGAGGTACTGGCCTTGGGTCGTTGCCCTGGAGAAATGTCTGGTGGGCACCTGTTAACTGTGCCGCACCTCCCTCCCGCGAAACTGGGGCTCAGCTCGGCAGACAGGGACACAGGCCCCGCCTGAGCACCCAAACCCTCAAACCGGCCTCAGGGTGCCCAGGTGGAGTCTGCGCTCCGGATGGTCCAACCCACGTCCAGGATCATCACACCCCTCGGCAGAGTCCACGCCCTCACCCGCGTTTGCTCCCCGCACCCCACCAGGATCCTCCCGCCCCCCCAGCTGTCCTGCAGCTGCTGGCCCGTGAGCAAAGCTGCAGGGGCGGGTGCGGGGCGGAGAGCGCTGTGCCTCCCAACAGCCTGGACACACTGTCCATCCTCCCGGCCCGGACTCCGTCTGTGAGATGGGCGCACCCCGAGGATCTGTCGCAGAGGGCTCTGGGGTGGAAGGATGAGGAGCCGCAGCGGAGGTTTCTCAGCAGCTCCTGTGCCCACATTCCTTGGGGTCCTGTGCTGCCCATTGCTCAGAGACCAGGGGGGACAGGGTTGGGTTAATCAAGCTCACAGCGGCTGGGGAGTCTGCACAGTCCATGCCACAGGGCGTCACAGTAAGTGGGTGTTGGGGGGACTTGCAGGACTCAGGCGTGGAGGGCTCGATCACTGTCAGGAATCAGGCTTGAGTCAGTCGGCTGATGGAGAAGCTCAGTCATTTCCAGCCAGGCTGTGGCTCTGCGGCTGTGGTCGCAGGGAAGCAGCAGCAGTGCCCGGGACAGGGCGGGCGGTCACTTTTGCAGCTGGCCCCAAGACGCCGTGCTGGGGACCTGAGCAGTGAGGTCAGAGCCGGCTGCCCAGGGCAGGCAGGTCCTGGCTGTCGAGGCCCTGTTCTCTCTCAGCTGCCGCGTTTGGGTGGGCTTTGCGTTTCATGACAATGTAACCTGATGTTACTCCTCCTGTGCCAGCCTATTTCTAGTTGGCTGTGTTTGGAGGGACTGCACAGTTTGAAAATGGGGAGATGCCTTTCTCTTTAGGGCTGCATATTTATAATTCACTGCAATGTGAAATAAGCCAGTCAAGAAAGACTGCTGCTGTAGGGCTCCACTTAGGATGGTCAGACTCACAGAGACTGAAAGTAGGGGGGTGCCCCGTTAGCGGCTGGTGGGGGGGACTGAGCAGTTGTGTGCTGGGGAAGTTGTTTGCATGATGAAGAGTTTTGGAGATGAATGGGGGAGGTGCTGTACAGCAGGGTGAGTGCATTCAATGCCCCTGAGCTACACACTGAAATGTTTATGAGGCATATTTTCTGTTACGATTTTTTAAAAGATTATTTATGCATACAAGAACTGGGGTACAGGCCAGAGGTGTGGGGGGTGAGAGGATTCACAAGAGACAGAGTGGGGAGCAGAACAGGCAGCTCTACTGAAATACACTGCTGAGGGGAGCAGCGGGCGAGTCAGGAGAGGTCTGCTGCGCCATGTGGGCAGCTCCCTGGCTGGGGATTGAACTCATGCAGCAGTGGCTGCAGTGAGCTTCATAGGTTATGTCTTAACCCCTTACGCCACCAGGGAGGCCCCTGTTATGATTATTTTATCACAATTAAATTCACCATTACACAATTTATACAATTAAATGTATGTACACATTTACCATATTTACACATATATGGGTGTGTGTACACAAAGGGTGACGGGCAGTCAGGGGAAGGCTATGATAAAGTCCTGTTGGTCCTGAGAGGGGAGATGTGTTCCCTGGAGGGATGGGGCCCTGGGCAGGATGCCACAAGGTTGTGCCAACCTAGCAAGACGCTGCGGGCAGCCCTGGGCTTCCTGAAGGCAGCCCTGGGTACGGCCACTAGAGGGCAGCACGGGCCAGCGAACTGGGCCTGTCTGGGGTTCCCACACTTGTCTTGAAGTCCTGGCCTTCTCCAGATGCAAGATGGGAAAAATCCTGCCTAGTCACTGCATGGGGATGCAGTGAAGATGAGGGAGGAGAACTAATTGGACAAGTAGAAAGTGAGCGATGTAGCACAGGTGCTATCAGGAGATTGGATTCCTCATTGGTCCAAACTCCTACCTGCTGGGAGGGTCCCACCTGGAGCTCCCAGGCTGCTACCCCCATAAGTCCATACCCCGGGCACTCTGCTTAGCAAGACCCCATGGGGCTGCTGGGGAACTCTGAGCCCTTCTGCTTTTAAGTCTCTCCCCAGGGGATCCAGTTGCTCTGAGGTATAAACTCCAACCCATATGAGCCCCTTCCAGCAATGCAGCTCCCTGTGCTGCCAGATCAACAGGGTGGAAATGCAGCATTAACAGAGAGCAGAGAGCAAGAGAGGACTGACAGGGTGGGGAGGAAGGGGCTGGGCTAAGGAAGAATCCCAGTGATATCAGGATATTTCCAAAGAAATGGTTTGATCAATTCAAAATACAGTCCTAAGTGAAGAGCTACTCATTAACAAAATAATCCATGAAGTTGATCTATTAACTTCCCAGTTCAAAGATGAAGGATCTGCATGTCAGAGAGATGGAGTAACTGCCCAGGGCTGCCCAGCAGAATCAGGATCAAACCAGGTTCAGTGAAATCTGTGGATCCAAGTCATGAGCACCCCCATTCTAGAATGTTCCAGAACCTGTCCTGTAACACAAATGCCAAAATCCAGCTTAAGAGCTGCAGGTTTAGGCTGCAGACCTCTTGCTTGCAGGCGAGATGCCATTCCCCTGATTCATTCAGGAGGGACTTCGCATTCATAGTATGAGTCACCCTGATCTCCGGAGTGGTCACCAGGTGAGAGGCCGTAGACCTGTGTTCTTCCTGTTGCAGAAAAGTATTCCTGGGAAATTACCCGCCCACACGGAGCACACCCTTCCGGGTTGCAGAGCTCTAGCCTTTCACTGCCTTAGAGACATTTTTCTTTTCTTTTCTTTTCCTTTTTTTTTTTTTTTTTAGAAAAACTGGGGTGTAGGCCAGAGGTGTGGGGTGGTGAGAGGATTCACCAGAGACAGAATGGGGAACACAACAGATTGACTGAAATACACTGCTGAGGAGAGCAGGGGGAGACAGGAGAGGTCTGCTGTGCCATGTGGGTAGCTCCCTGGCCAGGGATCGAAGTCAAACTTGTGTGGCTGCAGATAGCTTCACAGTGCTGTGGTTAACCCCTTGCACCACCAGGGAGGCCCTTGGAGACATTGTTCAACTCTGGATTGTAGGTAACTGCCCCCTCCTGTCTAGCAGACACCCCCTTGTGGAAAATCCAGCTTCACCTCCACGTGCATATTCGTATCTCAACATCCCTGACCTACGCAGGTGAGTCTGTCTGAGCTGGCGCTCACGTTTACCCACTGCCCTTACTAGTGAAGCCAAGTGCTGAACACACATTATATTTCTGTGCAGGAGTCATCATTTTCCCTCTAGTGCTTCCTCCCTCAGGTGTTCATGGCTCCCTGAGGTCAGGGTCAGTGGCCGGCATCCTGGGGGAGAGAGCTGAGCAGCAGAGGCAGCTGGCATTCTCGGAGCCTCTCCAGGTGGGTAGGCCGGGCGGCCTCCTGCTCAGGTGCACGGGGCAGGGTTTTAACAGGACCGGGGTTCCCCTTCTGGGTAAGCCCCTAACCAGCTTCCTAACGCGCCCTCTTTAGGGAATAGCAGTGGAAATGTTTTATTTCCTGCGTTCCTTGTTGGGGTGAGGCTGCAGAGGTGCGGATGACTGCTTACCTCTGACAGGAAGCTCATTTTCCGCAGGGTTGGGGAACCTGCCCAGGGCCCCACCCAGACAGAGGCCACATAGAACTGGAACTGGGCCTGCCTGACCGGGTGACCATCTGCCCCTCTCCCTCAGGGGTTTAGAGGACACCCACACTTACCACTGGGGGCGGCTCAGTGGGGCTGTGTCATGCTTCTGGGCTCTGTTCCAACACCTCTTCACACCCCCATTTTACAGGGGAGGTAACTGAGGCTCAGGGAGATGCTGTGACTTACCCAAGGACACACAGCGGGTGCAGGGCCCACTGGGAGTACACGGCAGGGGTCCAGCTCCCAATCCATAGGTCCCGGCCAATGTCAGGTCTGTCCAGCCTGCCCTCCCCCCACTGCAGGTGCCCAGAGGGTGAGTGGCGAGGGCTTGTCTCAGCATAACCCTTAACAGAGACCTTGGAATAGACACGCTCTGTGCTGCCAGGCAGTGGTGACGCTGGCAGCAGTTCCCACTGTGAGCAGGTAGATGCCCGGATGCACCATCTCAGTCCTCACTCCTGCCTGCAGGTCATTACCTGGGCCTCCCCCTTCAGGAACCTGAGGCGCCAGGTCACACCCCTGACCTTGAAAGGTGCCGTCAAGGTCGTCTCCTCCTCCCACGCCTACTCCTGCCATGTGACAGGGGCAAGCTGCTTGCCGTTCTGAATCTCCTTTTCCTTCGTCTGTAAAACGGAGATAATTATACTTCATCATCACATGTAAAGGGATTAAATAGCATATGATTAAATGCAATATGGTTCCCTGAATTAGATCCTGAAATGGAAAAAAGGACGTTCGTGGAAAAGCTGGTGAAATCGAAGCAAGTCTGGGGTTTAGTGACTAGTAGTGCACCAAGGTTGGTTTCCTGGTTCTGATGAATGTGCCGTCGTTACGTAAGATGTTGACAAAAGGGAAACTGGTGAAGGGCGTGCAGACTCGCTGTGTCATCGCTGTGACTTTTCTGTAAATCTAAAATTACTCCAAAATGAAAAGTGTGTTACTAAGAAAAAGTGAAGGGCTGTGGGGGAAGGCAAGAGCCCAGGGTACCTCCTTTCACTGACACGGGGACAGGAGGCTCCAGGCAGTCATCAGATACTTTACTGCCAAAGGGGCCGTGATAGGCTGGGAGGAGCGAAAAAATCGAGGCGAGGCGAGGCGGGGCGGGGCGGGGCGGGGTGGGGGGGGGTGGGGGTGGAAATCTGCTGGAGGAGAGGACAGAAAGGCCACGGTTCCTGCAGATTCCTGGGAG